TGCGCCGACGTCTCACCAGAGAGAACATCCATTGCTGTCGACTTTACCGTGAAATGAAATGAAATGGGGTTTAACGTCCTACTGTTTTGCTCCGAACTGGGCTAATGAAGACGGGGACTTTACCGTGAACCGATGCTCACCCCATGCCATCGACGTGAACGTCTACAGTTTGCCCAACAACACCAGAACTGGCGACACAGGCAATGGAGAACTGCTCTGGTATTGCGTATCAACTGCAAATAGCAGGATCAGATTATGGTGTCGACGTGGCCAGCGTTATTCTGACCAATGTGTCATGGAACGAGGCTCATGGGGAGGTCCAAGCATAATGGATGGCTTGGGGTGGAACCGGCCTGAACCAGAGAGACGGGTTCTGTGGCGTTCCAAAATCTTGGTCCAGAGAGAGGAGGCGGCAAATCAGCAGTGCGCTACATCCATCATACTCTCAAACCCCACCCCATACCACATTTCGCACGTCATCGAAACAACGTTTTCCAGCATGACAACGCCCGTGCCCACACCGCCAGAGTTACTCGGGACTTAAACCCGATTGAACATCTTTGGGATGAAATTCAGAGGAGACTTAATGACGCCGTACCGAGACCAAACACGGCCGATAGATTGCGCCAGACTTCTGAGTGTGGTTCCAGGTGCCAATGGCGTGCATCAATCGTCTGGTCCACTCCATGTACTGACGCTGCCCTGCATATTGACACTCGCGGTGGACACACCAGATACTGATGTATAGACTGTGTACAGACTCTAAACCTTCTCGTAATGTCTTGGAATTGTGATGAATTAATCACTAATGTGTCAACATACTGTTCCCAATAAATTCTTTGATCCATTTAGCAAGTAATTTTCTAGAACGATTTGATTAAAGTGCCTCTCAGATGTTGAAATCGTACTGACGGGTCGTTTAGTTTTGCTGTTTAGTATATTACAAAACCATCGGTTCCATATAAAATAAAGAACACATCTTTTAACAATCATTTTGTTTTGTCAAAGTTTTAATAGTTTCACATTGGTTTCACATTAAAATTTGAGATAGTAATATATCACATTAACCTAGGTTTCTAGCATTCTGAATATAAGACTAGAGACGCGCTTCCTGGGCAAAGAACATCTAGCTATATTTAGTTTTCGGTATGTAGGTGATAGATATTATGGGTTCCCAGCAAAGATCTCTTTTTGTAGTCAATGTTTCATTACATATCTCTTAGAAATATGAATATACTAATGTTCTAGGCGCTAATTCAGCATATTCACACTGGATGATAACTCGACAATAAAAATCATGGACAAGTTTAGAAAGTAGTAAATAGTTACATTTCAAGCTTCAAATTGGAGATTTTAGGTCGACATTGTAGGTTTGTCATGTGTAATTCTTTGTGTATGTTGTGGCCCCCTGCACTTGACCTTGACCAAGGAGAAATAGGAGGATACAATGAACACATGAATCTTATCTTAATTTAAACTTTTGTTGTAATGACCAGTCTGTATTTAAATGTCTAGCAAGCTGATATTCTGTTCATACCAAATCATTCATTGTATACGGACCTGCATACTGTTCGAACGCGAGTGAGTCAGACATACCATTGTATAGATGGCAATCTTCATAGATCAATTTGTGAATGACAACGAGGTCTCACATAGAAACAAAATCCACAAGACAAATCCACAGATAAGACACAATACACATAGGCATATAAAAAAAACCCTCGCATATATCGAATCAAGTGAACGGATATGACAATAAACAAGTTATTTTAGTCACAATTCACCAATATAACCAACAACTATACACATCTCAAAATATTGACGATAACCTAATAAAGTCCTATATTGAAAACAGTAACATAAATACTCTAACCAACACGGAAAACGATTCCCCATCACATTTCATATCTAGAGATGAGATCAAACTCTTAAGGCCCTACAAAGTTTTAGAACAAACCATACCCCGGAGTTCCTGTGGTGTCAAAGAATTTAATATAGAAATCACCTGAAATACTGTCTCAATAAACAACATCTGTTTACAGGGTGAATTATCAAACACAATGAGAACTGATATAATAACAATCAATTATAAGAATAAAGGAGACCACCGATTACTTAAGAACTATAAGCCTGTGTGGACTATAAAATTATCACAAAAATACTAAGCATAATTGTCTACGATATCACCTTAGGTGAAAGAGGACGTAAAACTCTAGAAACGAACGAACTAAGCACAAGAATTAATAGAGTTATTAACAAATCCATCTCTAAACCACAAACTGGAGCCAGACCAAATAAAGGCATTTTTGATAACCTATATTCAATTGATACAATCTTAAATTATATAAACACAAATGAGACCTGTGCCTATATTCTATCATTTGATCAAGAACAGGCTTTCCATTGCATTGAACACAATTATATTGAAAATCTACTAAAACATATAAATTTCCCAAATTACATCCTTAATTGGTTTACAATATTGTTTAAAAACTTGAATAGTAAAGTCCAAGTAAATGGATCCCTTTCCCAAAATATTAAAATTAACCGTTCAATTCGCCAAGGATGTCGATTATCCATGATCATTTACTCCTTATGCACCAAGACCCTTGCTTCATGCATAAACAGCAACATCCTCATAAAAGGCATCAGAATCCCTAACTACCCATTAGAGATTAAACTTTTTCATCATGCTGATGGCTGTTCTACAGTAATATCTAGACTATCTTCATACAGTACACTTCTCGAAGAATTCAAAAATTTTGGCTCAATATCAACTAAACCATGATAAAACCGAAATCCTTCCTGTTGGCAAACCATCCCACTCCTCTTATCCTGGAAATATAAACATAACATTAAAACGGACGTTATTAAATCATTAAACATTTGGTTTGGCACAAATAAAATGGAAAAAGACTGGCTAACGCATGTCAAAATAATCAAATCAGCCACCCAGACATGGGAAAACCACTCGCTATCATATAACGATAAAAATATGCTTCTTAAACACCTACATTCTCACAAAACTATGGTTTGTTGCTAGGATAGTTCCTCCGTCAAATTCAATTACTAAAACATAAATACATTAATCTACAATTTCATCTGGGAAAAAAATAAAACAATTAACAGAAAAAACCTTTACCTAGACCATAAAAATGGTGGCCTTAAAATACCAAACATTGGACTAAAAATCCAGGCAATGCAACAATAACTCATAGTAAATGCTATCAAATACAACAAAAGTCCTTGGGTAGGCCTATACATATACTGGCTAGGATTTATCACAAGGGATACCCTGCCCAGATATGCAGCCAATAGCTATACCCACTCAGAAAAAAAACCTCCCAATCTTATATAGATATAAAGAAACTTACAACAGCCTCAAAACATCAATCAAATATACATGCAGTACAAAACGTAAAGACATATACTGGTGTCTAATGACATAATACACACACAACCAAAAATACCTCATTGACTTCTCAAAAGTTTGGACAAACCTATACCAATGTCCGTCCTTGTCTGAAAAAGATAAGGATTTCATGTACACAACCATTAACAATGCCGTGCTAACAAAATATATATATAGCTATAAATGCCACTATTGCAACATATTACCATCACCTATTTCTAAATTGCCCTAAATTATAATTCTATAAACGTTTCATTACTACACACATGAATTTGTCTGCGATATCAACTCGGTGGAAGCGGACGTTAAATAAAGCTATTTCACACACACACACACACATGAATAGTACTCATTTCACAAAACAATTCAAAATTAACAAAATGACACCATCCATCTACATGATGTTAAATCTGAATACATTCACGATATATACCTATACCTATCGATCATATAGACTAACCGGACACACCCATTATCCACCAATATTTCAAAAGATCTCATATACCAATTCTATACAAAAAAAAACAACAAAACTAATGAATTCACACTAAAGCTTCAACCTACACTGACTTATTTCTTTCCTTAAGGCGAGGTTTTGTCATGTATGAAGCTTTATTTTACTATTACTCCCCTTATATGAAAACATTAACTGTGCTACTATCACTGTAAGTTGTCGCAACCAAGGACATCGTATTCCTGTTTCGCTTTCGTAAAATAGCACTGCTAAACATGTTTTATATACAAATTATATACAGCCCAGATACTAACTGCGATATCAATCTGTTCAAAACAACCCTACCTTAATTTTATTTACTGACACAGTAACCAATGGTCTACTGGTCTAACGCATGTGACCTTGATAACACGCTCTATATCATTTAATGTAAGATCAGTGGCATTGAATCCATATGGGACAATGTGTAAGGAAACCTGTCCAATCTCACTCAAACTGCTCAGACCACTACGCTCAAGTGACTTTTTGAAATGAAATTGAACCATAGGTTAATTCTGAAGTGTCCTGGTTGTGACGGTCTTATGCCCATGTGCCTCTTTAGTATGAGGATTAACCCAGTATTATCTGACCGCGTCATCTCTATTTTCGGTATGTTGGGGAATGGTACGTGCATCTCGATCAACCAGGCATTCTAGGCTACAAAACAATTAAAACTAGTATTTATGTTTATAGTTGTATAAATCTATCATGTATTTTACACATTGTACGTATAAGAATATTGAATTTGAAAATGTAAACAATTAAATATTAACTCTCAAGGAAATGTAAATATTTAAATGCTATAATATTAAATTGTATATTGCATTGTATATAGTTTCATAAGTGTAATTATATTATTCTTTTTTTAAAAAAAGGATGTCGTTCGCGCCCATTGTTCTTTAACCTACTCCAGTGATACAGGTACAGGATTCACTGAAAATGAAAAGCAATTCCTCTAAGGACAGTTTTAATTCTTAAATACAGTGTTATGCATCAGTAGCTGGTTGTGCGGGATTTAAATCTGATATCTTGCGCAATATTTACACCGGGAGAAATTTCTTGTCTATAGAACAGTGATATGAGTGGTTAGTTTTATCAATGGTGTTTTATACTAGTATCGGCCTGCAGTAGGTCAGGGGACATCATGTCTCTCGTAAGGTGTATATTCTTTATCTTCTTAATGACAGGTAAGTACTTTAACTGTTAGGTTGGTTGTATAGATAATGTAAGGCTATGTAGGTGATTATGGAATTAATAGACAATCTCTATATTAGTATCGACCTGACCTAGTTCAGAGTGTACATGATGTATATCGCAAGGTTAATAGACCCATGCTGTCCCGTCATAAAGCGGTAGTAAGTCTATGAAAGGTAGAAAGATTTGACGTCACCAAACTGCTTTTAATCATACTAATTGTTGAATATCAATTGAGAACTTCTTAGTTTAATCTCCCTTACAGGCATTCTTCTTGAATAATACCCATTGTTTCTCGCTCTGCAATGTCGACTACTGTAAACTATGGAAACCTGTTGAGGTCTTTTTTTGCAATCTTAATTTCTCGCTCTGTCATCCTCGACTTCTCGACGTTTTGCTTTTTAGGGTTTGAAAATCCTTGCTTTCTCCAGATCTCTTCCCTGGACTTCTCGGCTCTCGACTTCTCGCAATCTGATGTTTATTGCCCTTCAACCACGTGCCATATTCATCAGGCCACAAAATATATATTTTCTTTCACTCTCATAGTTTTGTTATTCTCATATTTGACAATTATTTTCACCTGACACGTCGACCTATCGCTGTTCAGAAGTCGAGATTATAAAATGGACGCAAACTTTATTTTGGTAGCCGACTTCGCTACCAGTTTAAGAATTGGAGTTTTCAAACGTTGTACTTGAGTACTCTGGGTGTTTGTTTGCTTGATTCAAAACGTTTGGCGTGGTTGATTTTTATAAATTAATAACAATATTTCTTCTTTTGGTAAGAATTAAATGTCGGTGTGGATAGACGCCCATTTAGGTGATTGTAGGGCAATCTATATAATAACGTGTGTATTGAACTGGCAGCGTTGAAAACGTACAATCGAAAGATGGAAAACTAAAGTAGATATGACGTCATGATTTTACGATCGGAAACCTTGTAGATATGACAATAGGTTAGCCAATTTAAATAAAATTTTTGCAGTGAAATTAACTTTTAGATATATAAATAGGTTAGCCAATTTAAGTAAATATTAAAATCGTGTTATATTTAAAGAGTATTTTGAAACAAAAATATATACCAACAATCTCAAGTAAATTCACCACCATTGCTAATAAAATGCTTACAATTTCAAAATGTAAATTCGCCGAAACTACTAGTATTCGTTTAAATTAAAGATATTATTTTAGACTGGGTATAAAATCCTTAAATTAAAGATGTTATTTTAGACAGGGTATATAATCCTGTATTTCTAACGTAGACCTCTATGTCTCCTCGTATGTTATACTGATTAATATTTCGTTTCGTTATCCACGTAAAGGGCGTGGTCTAAGGACTCAAACGTGCGCGCTTTAGATCATGAGGTCTGTCAAGTTGCATTGTTTCGATCCGATAGGTGACAAAGAGTAAGGTATCCTGTCTAACCTCGTGGGTTTTCTATCCCCTTCCCATTCCATCCCGCACTCGCGTTTTCTCACACGAACACAGTAAACAAAAATGCCGTTACTATTGTATGGATTTAGGATATTGCAATATCACCATCAAATGTTTGTATAGGTTAGTATTACAGAACACGCCCTTTCCTGTCTATTGAAACGCCAAGGCGAAGGTCCAATACCTATCGATTACATATAAATATACGTGCAGTATCACTCAAATTCAAACCAGTAGTGCGAATGAAAATTAAATGGGATTCAACGTCCTACTGTTCTGCTCCTTCTGCAGTCAGGGGTTCTTTTCCGTGCATGCTAATGTGTACCCGGGACCGCGGTTTTTCGACTATACGCTGTCCCTTGCCAAGCCCTCCGTCATACGCCACTGAAAAAGGGGAAATCACGACGGAAAATCCAGATGAATCGGGATCGCACACGGGATGTATAAGCTTTAACGAATATTTGGTCGATACATTTGGTCTAAGTAGGTTAGTCGATGGTTATCTTGAATATGGTATTAAGCTTACATTTGCAATAATACATTTATTTAAAAATCCCCAATAATAACAGTTGAATTAATTACTTTCTCGGTTGCTATTATTTGATGTGGGGGTTGGATTGCTGAATGGTTAGCGTGCGCGCGCTGTATCATAAAGTCTGTCATTGAGTCGACTGGCGTGGTTTCGAATTCCCGGTTGTACGTGACAAGTGACACGGAGTAGGGTCTCCTGTCCAACCTCGTGGGTTTTTTCCGGGTCCTCCGGTTTCCTCCCACTGTTAAAGACCCCTACGCGAAAGCGAATTATTGAAATAAAATTAAACCATATGTTAGTCCCGAAATGACCTTGTTTGTGTCGAGTGGACGTTAAACCCCATTTCTCTCTCTCTCTCTATTATTCGATGTACGCGTATCATGACTTGGTAATGCATTAAAACTGACACAAACTATTAAATTTACTACCATATGCACGATTTATAGCAAATATAAAATATAATACACTAATTATATTTTGTATATGAAGTGTACATTACAATTGTATTTGTAGTATATTTATTAAATAAGGAGACGAATTGATATGAGCCTTTGGCTGGTCTTTGAATCCTTACGTTTTGAAAATGTTTGTATTTAACATGAATCTCATTTGAATATCCCGGTTTCCTCCCACTGCTAAAGACCCCTACGCGCAAGCGAATTATGTAAATAAAATTAAACCATACGTTAGTCCCGAAATGACCTAGTTTGTGTCGAGTGGACGTTAAACCCCATTTCTCTCTCTCTCTCTCATTTGAATATCAATATAATGAAAAGCAACGGCATTCAAACACAGCGACAGCAGGAGGGTTGGAGTAAGATAGCCTCGTGTTCATATGCCATAAACAGAGCCGTTTATACATCGGAAATAGGTCAATTTATTTATACAGGTGAAAATATGTGAAATTGCGAAATATATAATCCATTGTGTGTGTGTGTGTCTCAATGGGTTTAGAATGTTGATAACCTTTATAACCACACTGGGTGTACTCTGTGTGCTTTCACGCTTGTATTTGTTCAGTCGGTCATCTATTCATTCATTCATCCATTGTGTTGGGCGACCGGAAAGTCTAAGACATGCGCTTTAAACCATATAGTCTGTCATTGAGCCCAGTGACGTGGTTTCGATACCCAGTAGGGTCGTCTGTCCAACATAGTGGGTTGTAGACGAGTGATTGGAGTTCCTCCTACTGCCAAATCACCTAGTTTCTGTTGAGTGGACGTTATCCCTCCCTCTCTCCCCCTCTCTCTGGAATTCATTGACTTACAATATTAGAACCATTGACTCCTTAAATGCATTTAAATCTCTCTCTCTCTCTCTCTCTCTCTCTCTCTCATGAATGCCAATTTGAATATTTATTGATTATACGATATACCCGTGCGTGTAATCGGACGTTACCCCGCATACTTTTATATTTATTTATGTCTTATGACATTCAGATACAGAAAATGTACATTGATGGGACAATAATACAGTCATTCAGAACAATAATAATAAATGATAATCAGCTACCGAACCGTAAATTAAACTTTATCCTAACTTCAACACATAGCTTGTTTAAAAAAATACTTAGATTGTTCGAAACCTTTACATTGTTTGGTGCGAACAACTGTGTGAGTTTAAGTTCTTACAAAATAATACCGTTCAATGTTTGGTTCTCTGATCGATTTATGAACAGGACACCTCAGGACAAAATGGAATTCATCTACTGATATTATACAGTATCGTCCACTTTTAATATTTAGAAAAAGTGAAGACGTGCGAAATTTAAATTATACTTGTTTACTCTGATTTGACAAAGGCTTTCTTAGATAATATTGTAAACCAAAATGAAAAAGAAATGAAATGTGTTTTTTGATTGGCATTTAGTGATTGTACATAACATTAGGTACAAATTTCTGAATACACAATAACTGGGTTTAATACTAAGCAACGGAAAATTTACCCGTGGAGTTAAAACATTTAAAAAAACTATTCACAAATAATAACAGTTACCCCACCCAAACCAACTGGTTAATGATGTCATCACCACCTGTCCACCACCATAGAGAACGAACTAAGTCTGGAACGCCAAATACTGTCCAATCTGACATCTCCTATTTCAAGGCCAAATCTCATACACGATTAGAGGGTTGATGAAACAAGACGTGGGCATAGACGTCAGAACCATTCAGAATATATTAAATAGCTAATAGTAAAACACAACAAATCAACCCAAACAGCCCAAAGGATGTATATTATATGAAATAACTTGCTCGTGCAATGAAAAGTATGTAGGTGAAAAGAAGCGTCCACTTGATGTAAGAATAAAGTCACCATGGCCTCCACAAATCATCCAGCCGTAGCAGAGCATATTATCGACAACGGACATCATACAATTCTATAGGACCAAACAAGAACCCTTGCAGTAAAATCATCACCAGAAGAAAACCAGGAAACTTCTTGAGGCCATCAATATAAAACGAATCAAGCTTATGACCAACTTATAGATTGATTCCCATACTTTGTTCTATTTCAGTGCTTATCCAGTTTTTCCAGTCTAATAAAATATTTTACATTTCTTGATTTTCAGTACTTATCCAATTTTGCGGTCTAATAATATATTTTACATTTCTTGATTTTCAGTTTATTGAATTATATTTACGGTTTCCCTCATTCAGTTTTATATTCCATATTATGATAGGTTTTATCTTTCATGATTTCCAGTTTATTGAATTAATATATTTACGGTTTCCCATGTATCAGCGACCACTCTTATTCATTCAGCCCCCCCCCTCCCCCAACCCCTCCCCACATTCCTTTTAAATTTATTTTGTTTAATTGGTTTCCCATTAATAGTGTTAATACATTGATCTTCATAAATAATAAGACCCCCCCCCCCCCCACTAAATACCTGTAAGAGTTTCTGCTGTGTTGGTTTAGTTGTAAATGGCCCCCTAATCAAAGGTGTTAAGTTTTAATTGTATTTAATTGTTATTTTTGTTGCATATTCCGTACATATTTGTCTACTATTCACATATATGTATCACTTGCTTGATAAAGACGAGAGTATTCTCGTCAAGACGTCGCTTAGTATTATTAAACTCAGTAATTGTGTATCCATGAAATTGTACCTTGTGTTAAATGAAATGTTGTTTAACATCCTACTGTTCTGCTCCGAACTGGGCTAATGAAGACGGGCATACGCCATACAGTGTGCAATGAGGGGAATTTTGCCCGGACAGCGGCACTACGGCATAGTCTTATATCGAATTCCAACTTACTGTCAAGGGATCTTTTACACATGTGTATACGGGACCTCAGGTTTTTGTCCCATCCGAATGACTAGATAGCTGTCCTTGTCAGGCCCTCCGTCCTGCATCACTGACAAGAGGGGTAGGGGACCACGCCGGAAAATCTGGATGACCTTTCTAGGCCAGTGCAGGGGTCGAAACCCGACTTTCAGGCTGGCGGGCCAGCGTCTACCCACTTAGCCACCGTGACCCCTCCAGAATACTAATACTTTAGTTTTATCTGTATAGTAGTTCACATATTCTTATAGGGTTTAGGATGTAAAATGAAACTGAAGTTTGTGTCAGGACTGTTAGTATTGTTATGATTGGTACAAACTGAATACACTAATATTGTATGTATCAAGTGATCTAGGACAAACATGTCCATTAAACATACATTGTGCAAGAGCTAAATCTGCCTATTGCAAGAGTTTATTTAGGCTTCAGATGTTATAGAAATTATTAATCAGACCTTTATTTACACGACAAGCTCAAAATCAACCCTGTAGACCCTCGGGTGATTTGGATACAGCTTGGATTTACTGTTAGTTGCTTACGCGTCAGTCAAATATAAAATACTAACATTAGTGTATAAATGTCGCAATAATGCAGCTCCTCAATACTTATCTGAACTCTTATATGACTACAACCCTATTACATCACTTCGCTCTCAAAATAAACAGTCACTAGTTGTTCCAAGATGTAATTTAAAGTCATATGGGTATAGGTCTTTCAGTTCAGCTGGTCCTAGATTATGGAACGAACTTCCACAACAGATCAAGAATCAACAAACTTTTAATCAATTTAAATCCGCACTAAAGACTTTCCTGTTTCAACAGTTTTACCAGTAGAGCCATTACTAAAAGCGTTTTGAGCATGTGTCAACATGGAGAAGACGCTATATAAAACTTCATTATTATTATTATTATTCACTGATGTCACTACCGGAAACTGGTGATGAAAAGCTTGCCTAGCGAGGCTACCATAGTCATTGAGCATGTTACTTGATAATCGACAATATGTGTATGGAGTTATCGCTTGTCAATCAAACGATCGCCAATTCTCGTAGACGGTGCGGACACAATTGATGCCTATTCCAACAGTGACAATTCCGTTCAGAACAAAGTAATTCTGAAATTTTCAATATTTTCCTTTTTTATCATCTATTTTTGAATTATTATAGCAAGAATGGCCAACTCTTTATTAAACTCTTAACTAATGTATATTTAAAGGAAAAGACAACACGCGAGCAATAGTAATAGTCTAGGCAGTATACAAAAAATAAACAGGGGGTTATCTCCATTGTTCGGAGGTAGGGATTATTACCCACTGCTGAATAGGACTTGTTGTCGCTGGTTACAAGATGGGTGTATTGGGTGTAGCGATCGAATGGAGGCTATAGCGATGGTAAACTTTCGAAGATGAATCTCGTGATGAAGAGGTTATGGGGATGTCTTTTCTTAATCGCTTATACAAATAAAGGTAGTAACACAAAGCGTGGAAATACGCCCACACATGCAGCTATATCTTATCAGTAACTTATGTGAATGAAAAACTTGGATGTTGACCAAATTTAATAATGTTATTCTTCCCGAAATCTAATCTTCACAAGATTTTCCGGACAAATACTATAGCCCTGTAACAGAAAATCTTAGATTGCTGAGAATCAACCGAGTTCATCCTTCCCACTTTAGTGATTCAATAGGGTTAATTTTTGCACAGTCCCTAACGTTTCACACACAATTGGAAAAATCCCAAATCTTAAAAACTGTAGTGTCTGACACGCTAACGGAACAGAAGGTACCAGAACACTGAACACCGATATAGGGTTCATCAGTTCATGACACCAACAAAATCTTTAAAACAAAACTGAAACAAAATTACGAAATCCTTTAAAAACTGAAGTCACTATCGCGTAAACAAATTTATTAGAGAATGGGGGCGGGGGTAACAAAAGGCAGGATAACGCTGAATATCAGTAGTGGTCGTCATGTATACAATGTGTTCATAGATGATACATTTAATTCTAGGCGCATACTATAAATAACGTGATGCGTTCTGAACTGTATCATTACTTCATTACGTCGAACGACAACTTAACCGCGGCTTCGAAACGAAATTGGGGCCGTGGGGGCTCTTTCCCAGAAATCGATGAGTTTCGGATTCGTTCACAGTGTTGGCCAAGACGTTCTTTGGTATGTTTCAGTCTGGTTTCTTAGCGGCCAAGGGAGGAGGACCTTGCAAAGAAGAGCGTCTACACATAGCCCTCTTCATTATCCCGGTTGGTGCAGAAAATAGTATTGAAAGGTTACTGGAAAAGATTATTTGATTTTGAAATGTCTTCGAAAAGAAATGATGTGTTAACTCGCAAGACAATATGGCACATACTGACGAATTATTTGAAAACGAGTCACAAAACATTCTAAATATTTCACAATAGCTATCAGTACCTCGTGGTAGTGTGATAGCTTACGCAAATTTATACAGGGAACGATATCTTGGGCTATACAACAATAGGCGTGGTGGTGGATTTCAGTATGATAACTTGCGTAATATTTATACTAGGAGAGATACACACCGTCTATAAATAATAAGAGGGTATAATGTTTTATATCAGTATCGGCTTGCGCTAGGTCAGTGTGGACATGATGTCTCTCGTGGGGTTAATATGTTGTCTCTTCTTAACCATAGGTAAGTAAATGAATTAAGAATGGGTGATTTGCTTTGTATGATTATTGCTTTACTAAACAATCTGTATCATGCATTGCCCGACAGGGACGAGAATGTACAGACGACCGATGGAAAACTAATATAGTAGATATGCCGTCAGGATTGTCAAGCTTAGCTGATCTTACACCCAAACTAAATGATAGACTGGCCATTTTATATACATTATATAATCAGATAACTGATAGATTTGACATCATGATTGCCAATCTCAGCATATTTTAATAGCATACAACTGGCAGATATGACGTCATGATTGCCAAGCTTAGCATACTGGCAGATATGATAGCTTGGCCAATTTATATACATTATTGTATAAAGCTTGGGTTCATGGAATATATATATTTCTCCGGCACTACTTACAATTGCCACCTTGTATCTACCATCTATCTGTTGGCCATCCCGGTTCCCCAGCACTTCTAAGGACCCACACCTTTAAACCACTCATTCCGTGGACAACTGCGCACCGGACTTCGAATTTTGATGTGATCGCTACACAAATACACCTATCATGTAAACAGGGTCAATAAGTTCCATCCAGTAATTGGTACCACACACTACTTTCAGAGAAGGGAGATAACTCTTTTATACCGAGGAAGCTCATTGTATTCTGCTCCGACTATGACTACTCCTATTGACTTTGGAATTATGTTATTGTTTGTATATTTCAGGAATAGACACATCGCAATTAAGTATTCGGCCTTCCGCAGATGTACCAACTGGAACAAATACACTGACAATATCTTGTTATCCTACGCTCGCCGATGACTTTGCCACATTACAATATTTATGGATACAGAAAGACAACGGGACAAAATCGATAGCGTGGGTAGATCCTTACAGGCACACATTAGAATCCGGCATCTTCGAACCTAATTATAAAGTTAGGGCTCGTTGGTTTGCAAACCGGCCACTAGATTCATATTTAGAAGTAGAGATTCACTACCCAGACCCTCGACATGCTGGCGACTATAACTGTATAGTTCGTGGATATAAACGCAACGAAGAAGTTATGACAGACGAAAGATACGACAAGGACGTTACGTTTAAAGGTACATTTGTTGTTATTTAAGTGTTTTACTTCATCCATTTTGGTTGCGACTAAACAAAATCAAATCTATGAAATTCTAAAAGAAAATGCATAGAATCAAATTATGTAACCATGCAAGTTAATAAAACTGACTGGCGGATGGAGACCAAGATCTTAACCAGTGAGGAATTAGATATCAATCTGTAGGAAAATACAAATTCAAGAGTATAATACAACCCAGCAGCTATAAGGGAATACACATGGCTTTATGTTTAAGAGTCAAATCAAACCCCTTAGCTATACGGGATACACAAAACGTCCCACCCTGTAGCTGCAAGTTCAAGAGTTAAATTCACATCCCTAGCCACGGGGAAATATAAATGTCTGGTGGGTCTTTGGGAATGAACTTAGTTTAGTTAACGACTTTATTTACCCAACATCCATTTGTTCAGATCATGTCTGTGTAGTATGATCTTATTCTTCTATTTTAAAAGGTGTTGTAACCACTGGTTTGTATGTAACACCGTCGCCACATTTACAAGAAGGTGATTCATCTCTAACTATTAGATGTTCGTCAACTTATGAATCCGAGTACATGAAAATATACAGTCTTTATATACTGAAGAACAAAACAACTGAGGTTGCACACACAAACAGGTATGACAGTTCTTATTGTAAAGGGGGTGGTGGTAACACGTGCACTGTTATCTAGTCCGGGACTGGGTACTTGGTTTGTACGTGTAGGTTTCTTTCCGGAAACTCTAATAAAGACTCCTAAAAAGTTAGAGTTCAATGGACGTTTACATGGTATTGAACACTTGAGTGGATTGTCGTCTGTACATAATTTATTTTACCTGGAAACCTTGCTCCACATTTCAACTATGCTCAACAATCTTGTCGTTATCTACGTGTCGTTGCATTTGTTAATATAGGTTTGGTCATGTTTCTGGGCCAGGATTTGACAGCCCTAAATATACAGTAACTAGTCAGTTTGATGAGGACGCCCCTTGGAATTCTTACATACAAATCATAATCAATAATCCGAACTGTACTGATGCTGCTATATATGAATGTGTTACATCTGGTGATGCACGTGTTGGACCTGATAGTTATCGATATAACCAAACAATTACAATTCGAGGTAAGAGTGATATTTTGTAAAGGTAAAATTGAGCAATTGATAGCCGTTTAGTAATTGAATATATTAACACAATGTATAATTTTATGGATACACAATACTGGATAATATCATATGCTTGAGTATCCTCGTGGAAATGATGCATATTAATAATCAGTATTTGTATATCTATAAAATCGTACCTAGTTTCGATTAATATTTCTATTCCGAATGTTTGAACTGGTTTTTTGCCAACTCAGTGTTCGAAAGAAAACAGTTTACGTTATAAAATCTATAAACATCACAGGTTTCGCGAATTGATGTGGTCGATGTATCGATAATTACCAATCAATTTGTTAAATACCTATCTATTGTAATTGCTTTTACCAGGTAACATGTCAATGGCAATCAGCCCCAACAGAAGATTCCTCAACATCAACGAAACTCTAGAAATAGAATGCAGTGGTGAAGTGGGAAATCCTCCACAAAATATATCTTGGGAATGGAAACTACCGGATAGTAATAACTGGGTTCCCTATCCTAGTTCTTCTGATATAAGAGACGGTGATGTCATTCCCCCTAATTCTACAAGATGCAATTATTTTACAAGAAGTTCTTTAAGCTACAAGGTTAAAGAAGGGGATAATGGTAAAGAGGTCAGGTGTATTGTAGAAGATGTGGACGCACTGAGTGTAAAGACGACTATTGAATTAGCCAGTAAGTTGTTTCGTTTCAGTTCATTTTATTTCTTTGTTTCCGTCATATAATAAGATGTATTGCTGGAAATGTGGACGCACTGAGTGAAACGACAACTATTAACCTCGCCTGTAAGTATTTTTATACGCCCACATTTTCATGTGGACGTATATTGTCGTCGCCCCTGGCCGTCCGTCCGTCCACAATTTGTTTGTGGACACTCTACAGATCACAATTCTTATCCGATTCTTGACGATTGAGTTCGAATTTCGTGAAAATCAGACCGAAACTGTCAGACAAAATGGCTACTCCTTGTATGCAAATAGTGTAAAAGTATGTAATACCAAGGTTGTGGACTCTCTAGAGGTCACAGTTCATATCCAGTTTTGATGAAACTTCAAATATATGTCTATATATTTGGGTTCCTTTGGATATTCACGCATATCGGACCGTAACTTCCTGGAATATGGCCCCTGATTGTACGAAAAATCGCTTCCTTTTTTAGCTTGTTCTCTGTCCATCTCTTGCAAAACGTGGGCGTATTTTCCATGGCAACCGCTGCTTATTTCTGTCTTTGTTTTCGTCATTATATAGAAAGCAATCGTTTATCTATGTGATTTCGGCTTCGAGTCTGCGGTTGTCGTATAACCAGTCTGATGACAGCACAATTTCAAATATTTCCGATGCTGACCTTTGAAATCCTTGCCAAATTGTATTCATGGTTATCGAATTTAAGCAATTTCCAGTATTTCCAGGGTAGCTTGCAGAATCTCGGAAACACTATTCTTTATAGTTTGACGACATTATCCTGACATTAATTTTTGAGTTACTTCTTGTACGTCTCTGGAATGCACCAGTGACGGCATTGGTCAGCGATAAGAATAAAGCTATTAAAATTTAAAATTTTTCGGTCTGGGTTTTCTATGGTTGTTTGTATTGATTATTCCATTACAGTTGTTGACGCGACACGAATTCATATTTCACCATCAACGAAACTTCCAGTTGGGGCTTCATATTTAACTATAAACTGTTCACCAATAGAAACAAGCGGTTATACTTCGCTGGAATATATAGAGATAACAAGACGTTCTGTAAGTTCGCCTGAACGTATAGCTTTTATTACGTCTTCTGGTATAACTCATGGTCCTGGTTTGACACAACCCAAGTACAACATCAGTGGGGAGTTTATTGGAATAACAGAATCATATCTGCAGATCGATGTAGTGAACCCCGATTGTATGGAAGTAGCTGAGTACCAGTGTATTACGGTGGGAAGTTCTGGTTCGGAGACTCAACGTCTACAAGCTACAGTCACTGTTACCTTTGAACGTAAGCCTATATCTGTTATATCGATTTCATAACAATTATGCTAAATTGAGTTGCTGCCTTTATAATAAAAGGACTGCTGATAAATGCAGGAAATACGCCTCAACGCAACATTGTTGTTAATTAAATGTTAACACAATGTCACGGAGTGACATCGCGGTTTCCCTGTTTCGTTGCCAACGTTCGTCAGTATATAGAATTTTAGCAGGATACCCGGCTTCGCCCAAATTCGCTCGGGGCCCAAATTCGCCCGGGGCTCAAATTCGATGGGCAAAACCATTCACGAAATCATGCTGGTTAATTTGATACGACATATGCGAGGATGGAGCGCGGCGACGAAACATTCACCGGGTCATGCTGGTTGATTTCCTACTACGGTGGATCGCGGTGACGAAGCGGTCGTTATGGGCGAACACACCCGCACAAAGACAACTTTAATTTTATTTATATATAAGATGTAGGGCCAGTGACCAAAAGTTGTTTAACTTCACAAATAAATATGCACTGCGCTGTAAGTAATGTGGCTAGAAATTAGTGGAATAATATGTTGACGTGCTATAACACTAAATAAGAGGTCATTAAATATGCGTCACAGCGGGGTAATTACAATACATGATAGTGGTATCACGTGCAATAAACTAGACTTGGTAATAATCTGAATATGTTAAAGTAGCTAAGTCTCTAACTCAATATTATCCATAGTCTTCGACATTGAAAACACGAATTAAAATCAACATTGATGTTGTGATTTTACCGGGAAAAGATGTGCTTCTGATATCCAATATTTAAGACAAGATAAACATTTTACCATTGGTACACGAACCGTGTACTATAACGCGTTTCTGTCCCATTTGTATGGACTCGAAAAAACGATGCTAGATATATCCCAAAAGTCATGCCAAACGGTGACGACATATTCTTATCTGGAGAGCATGCGCAATAAATTCTATGTAGACTGGAATAACCAGACGCTAGAAATTGCCGTTTAATTGGGACTTCTGGCGTATTTCTCCGAACATAACTGATTTGAAAAATGCAAATGATTGAATGTAAATCGGTTTAAATACATTCATATTACATTATTATATGCGTTGCGGCCCATTTATGTCAATTTCTAGGTCCCAAATATTAGCGATTCAGCTCCTTTAATTCCGTTTCTTTTTATTTTTAATATTGTACTGCGTTAACATCTGACATAAAAATAAAATGAAACCAAGCACGAACAAAGCAAACCATTAGACAAACTTCGGCGTCCTAAAAACGGTATGACAAAATAATCTTAAAAGGGTTACGCCCAAACGACTCAATATTTTGTGCTGAAATTTTGAGACAATATAAATCCACCATTCCTCGATATTTTGGCCTTAAGTACACGGACTGTTAAAATCGAGATGGTCTCTTTAAGCGAATTTAATTTCTTCATGTTTTGTTATGTATTCACTATTTAAAACGTTACATACAACTTTGTCTAAATAGTTCAATTACTAAATGCCATTTAAACAGTTTATCAGACATCAGTATGGAGATGTGGCAGTCAAACTCATTGATCAGATACGAAGAACAGAAGGAAAATATGTACATGTATGTAATAATCTTACTTTCTTGATGCGATGCATGGATGCCGATATAGTACCCAAGTGCCTAATTATCAAATCACCAATAATTAAATTAGATTACCTTTAGGTACACGTAATTAAGGGAGATCTCTGGTTTGTCAGCATTAACTAAGTATTGTTGTGTACATGTATATATTGTCCTGTCATATTTTCATTTTTCATCATAGCTTGATAATGACTACAGAAGCCTAGTCGAAACGTCGCTTAGTAATAAGCAGTAATTGTATTCCATAGAATTGTGACCTGTATACTCTAGTTCAATTACTAAATGCCATTGAAACAGTTTAACTTTGTCTAACTCTAAGGTCCTTTAACAATGACAACCAGTCCTAACAGAAGATTCTCTAACATCAACGAGACTTTGGATATAGAATGTAATGGTGAAGTGGGAAATCCCCCACAAAACATTACCTGGGAATGGAAATCCACTGATGGTGACTGGGTTGTTTATCCTAATATGGAAAGCGTAAACAATAGCATCATTGAAGCACTAACATCTACCACTTGTGAATATTTTACAAGAAGTATCTTAAAGCATAAAGTAGTAACTGATGACAATGGAAGACTTTTCAGATGTACAGTCGGTGGTCCAGAACCAGCTAATAGGACGACAACAATATATTTAGCCAGTAAGTCAGTTCATTCCCGTTTACTTGGAGCTTTTGTTCATATAGGCTACATCTATCATTAACTTGTTTTGGTCGTGGCATTACTATGATATACAATATTCTTTTGGGCTTTTAAGGCTTGTTTGTATCATGTGATTGAGCAGGCGAGGGGGGGGGGTATTAATGATAAGGCAACGGGGTTAGTTTACCGGATGACAACATTATCACCCTGCATTGCAACTGAACTATACTGTATCATGTGATCGAGCAGGCGAGGGGATGGGGGTATTAATGATAAGGCAACGGGGTTAGTTTTCCGGGTGACAACATTATCACCCTGCATTGCATCTGAACTATACTGTATCATGTGATCGAGCAGGCGAGGGGGTGGGGGTATTAATGATAAGGCAACGGGGTTAGTTTACCGGATGACAACATTATAACCCTGCATTGCAACTGAACTATAATGTATTTCGTAATCGCGAAGACATATATATATGGATCACATTTATTCATGTGTGTATGTGTGATACTGGCTTATAGAACGCCCCCTTCCACAGAAGTTAAATCATACAATAATTTTAAACAGGACAATTGGCTTCAATAAAATAGTTAAAAAGATTACTGTCTGACCCGTAACAGCAGTACTAATTTAAATTATGCATTTTTTGTCTAATAGATGTGGATGCCGCACGTGTTGAGGTAACACCAATAGACAGTTTACCAGTCCGAGCAGCGAATGTAACAATAAAATGTTCTGCTATTGAAACATCAGACTTTACATCCCTGAACTACATCCAGATACTAAAACACAATCCAGAATTTCCAACAATCTTAGCATCAATATCTGCAGCTGGAGCTACTCTTGGATCTGGAATTATTCAACCCAAATATAATATTAGTGGAGAATTTAAAGGAATCAGGGAATCATATGTTCAACTGGTTATAACCAATCCTGATTGTACAGATGCTGGTCAGTATATCTGTTCTACTAATGGTGTTACCGATGATGGTAATCAAACTCTACAAGCCAATACGGTTGTTAATGTTCAGAGTAAGTTATAAATTACCTAAATTAATTGGGGGAGAGAGAGAGAAATGGGGTTTAACGTCCACTCGACACAAACTAGGTCATTTCGGGACTAACATGGTTTAACTTTATTTTAATAATTCGCTTGCGCGTAGGGATCTTTAGCAGTGGGAGGAAACCGGAGGACCCGGAGAAAACCCACGAGGTTGGACAGCCGACCCTACTCCTTGTCAATCGCTTGGGTGAATCTTCTATATTGTTTCTTTACACTGCCAAGAAATGTTTTAAACCTCCACTCAATACGATTTTATTTTATTCCAACAATTCATATGCGCGTAAAGATCTTTAACAATGGGGAGACCGAGAGAAAACCTATGGGATTAGACAGGCGACCTCACTCCTTGTCACATACCACGTCACTTGACTAAATGAGAGAACTTCATTTTATTCCGCTATCACGTTTACAAATAATTATCTAAATTAATTTGATTTCCTTTATTTCGAAGATAACGAACAAATTTTTAGAATATTTTACAAATATTTTCTTGTCCAAGGTTGCATCTCATCAGATGTATGTCAAGATATATTATGTTAATCATATCCGGATAAAAGCATTACTTTATGGAGATGGAAACTCACACCTAGCCTGGATCATTCAAATTTGAAGTGGCTCCTAGACAATATGATAACAACTTTAGGTACATTGTGATACGAAGATTTTATTTGGTCCAGACTTATATTCGTCGTCGTCAAAATGTTATCGAGAGTTTCTAAACAATGTGCATTACTGCACCGATAGCACAGACAATAGAATTAGAAATAAACCAAAATGTCAAAGTAAGAAATTCTATGATATATATATATATATCATTGAATTTAACTGCGACGTGGATTGATGAGCACCTTTATGTTTTTTTCAGTCCAGATGTCCATGGGGCGGGCAGAAAGATTGGGGACCCGTATATAAACGAGTAGTAGTACATATAACAGATTCCCTGCCCCCCCCCCCAAACCGATCCTCGTGGCACAGATAGCCCCATATAGCCACAGATATCAAACTTATGTCAAATTCACGTTGGCCAATAGCGGCCTACCCCTTTTCCATTCATCATCATGTGCACTTGCATATTTTACTTTATGTCTTCATTTCAAGCTGAAGCCAGAGACCTTGACATAAAGAGAGAACCAGAAATGCCGTTCTACTCACGTGGCACCACGATAACCCTAGAGTGCAGCGGATATACAGGAACTTATCAAGATCAGTGGTCGTGGGTGTATTCGAAATATTATACACTCTCCAATTATATATCCCAGTCTAACATTCCACCACTCTCTGATCAACAAGACGTAGTGAACCAGACATCATATAATCCACAATGCGGTAACTTTTCACGCACATCGTTGACTTATGTGATAAGGGATGATGACAATGCCCTGCGATTTACATGTAAACTTGGACAGTCGACTTCCCATTCAAAGAGTATTAGCATCTGCATTGGAGGTAAGTAACTTTTCTCGTATTTAAACCAATTAAGTTGTTGTATGGATGGAGTGTAATAAATTAAAATCTTTATATATTAATAATACAATTCATGATGTGCAATATATTAAACCGTATATCATCAGTAAAATCGACCAACACTGTGCTGCTATTTGACGATATTATGTTATTATTTAATAATAATGGGTAGTATTTGGTAGTATTGGGTTATGATTTGCTTCTTTTTGGTGATATAGGGAAGCAAATAGAATAGCCAAACATTGAAATACATTTCCTACGATATAACTCACCATTTTTGAAGAAAATCAAGTAATATGCCTATTTTGCACCATTATGTTCTAGTATTGTTACCTGAAGCCCATCTTCTACAAGCGTGGGATCAACACGCGTAAGACCAGACCACGCGCCAAATATCAAACAATTTGTAACGTAAATAATGATCGACGGATTACTGAGGTGCGTTAAACCAAATGTATTGAGAGATTCACGTAATATTAATATTTACTTGATATTAATATTCACTTGATATTTACATTTGCTTGATATAGATATTCGTTTAACTTGATATAAATTTTCTCTTGATATAAATTAGTCAGCTTATATAAATATTCACTTGATATAAATATTCAGCTTATATAAATATTCACTTGATATATTCGTTTGACCTGACATAAGTATTGGTTTGACTTGATTTAAATATCCACTTGATATAAATTTAATATTAACTTGATATAAATGTTCACTTGATATAAATATTCGTTTGACTTAATATAAGTATTAACTTTTTTACCTGGACGTATTTTTTAAAATTTATTTATGCATTTATCTTCCGTAAACAAAGAAGTACTCTAACCTCTTTAATGTAACACATATATATGGTAACACACACATATACTCTTCCAAAAAAGTAGGGGATATTCAGAAACAAAACAAAACTGCGGAAATGCACTGCTGTTTTTATTAGAGGTAAGGAGATCGCGTGACTAAGTGGGTAAGACGCTGGTTCGCTAGCCTGGATGTCGGGTGTTCGATCCCTGCATTTGCCGAGAAAGTTCATCGAGATTTTCTAGCGTGGTTTCCCCTTGTCAGTGATGCAATACGGAGGGCCTGACAAGGACAGCCGTCTAGTCGTTCTGATGGGACGAAAAACCGAGGTCCCGTGTAAAAATTGACGTGCACGTAAAAGATCCCTTGGCAGTTGGAATTCGATATAAGAGTAGGTCGTAGCGCCGCTGTTCGGGCAAAATTTACCTCATAGCCCACTGTATGGCGTATGGCCGTCTTCATTAGCCCAGTTTAGGAGCAAAACAGTAGGACGTTAAACCCCATTTCATTTCATTTTCATTTCTATTAGAGGTAACCAGTGTATGTAAATAACAGACCAATTGCCTAAACATGAACATAAACAGTTCATATGGACGGTCCCATTTCACTCGCAAAGAGATACACTGTCAAAAGTGAAAATGGACAGTTTTGATTTTTGTCTTAATAATGAGTAATTGCTCCACCAATCCTCAGACATTCAGCAATTCGTCGTGGCATGCTTCTAATCAACCGTCCAATCACGATTTGGTGCAATCTGATCCACTCCTATTCCAGTGCCACTGCCAATTCTTGCATTGTTGTCGGTTGGCGTTGACGTCGACGAACACGTCTCCCGATCAAATTAAACTAACACACTAAAAGCAAAACATTAAATCTTATGCAAGAACCGATAGGAAAGCAAACATGGATAGATAAACCAGTACGCGGCAGTTTCCATCAACCCTTTCTTGAAGTGTCAATTTTGACAATGACCCCCCACCCCCACGCGTATGGCGCTATTGCGTGTCGCATGTGCAGCTCAGTGGTTCTGTTGGGGCCATAAGTTCTTCATCTGTGAACATACTTTCAAAGCAAGTCAAATGTCCATGGCTATTTATCATATCGCAACCTGCATAGGTATTTGCATTTCAATATCCCCTACTTTTTTTGAAGAGTATATGTAGGACCAAATCAGCCAAGGATATAATAAATAAACATATTTATTTATTAAGAAATAGTAAAAAATGTCTGAAATATGGGATACCACAAAGATTATAAATTCATATACTCACTCCTTCAAAAGTTGATACTGAAGTCACAGAACCGAGTATCACAAAGTTTGGGGACAATAGATGTAAAACTTATGACGACATTATTGAAGGGAAAACACTAAAAATTAATGGAAATGTAACTTTTCAAGTAAATCAATCTAAGACCTGTAAAAGTAAAACTGTCATATTATTATATTTGATAATATGTCCGGGTTGCAAAGAAAACTATATAGGTAAAACTGAATCACAACTCAACATAAGGATGAACCTACACAGATCCCACATTGCATATCCCAAAAATAGAATGATTCCACTAATCGAACACTTGGATACACGTGGAAAGGGAAAATCTAGTCTACCACTTCCGGTTTCGGAGTTATGATCCCCTAGCGAAGCTGGTCTGTTCGGGGTTGGCGGCTACACTAGGTCTGCCCCGAGTCTGAAATTCGGGGTATAGGGGTAGCTCGGACCGGGGAGTAACATAGGCCAGGTGGCGTTAGTCTACCACTTCCGGTTTCGGAGTTATGACCCCCGAGCGAAGTCTGTCTGTTCGGGGTTGGCGGCTACACCTGCCCCGAGTCTGATATTTGGGGTATAGGGGTAGCTCGGATCGGGGAGTAACATAGGCCAGGTGGCGTTAGTCTACCACTTCCGGTTTCGGAAGCCGGTCTGTTCGGGGTTGGCAGCTGCACTAAGTCTGCCCCGAGTCTGAAATTTGGGGTATAGGGGTATCTCGGACCGGGGAGTAACATAGGCCAGGTGGCGTTAGTCTACTACTTCCGGTTTCGGAGTTATGACCCCCGAGCGAAGCCGGGTATCCTGCTAGTATATAATAAAAGTATAAATTTCAGCTCTCAATATTAAATATAAAAAAAACAATAGTATGAATTGAACAATGTATATCATTATATTAGACAGTGATTAAACAATTAATAATGATAGTTGTTCAATGGTGTGTGTGTTGCAGCTGATCCAGGTATATATTAAAGTTCACCCCTCTGTATGTATTTTACAGCTGATCCCCAAAAGCTAAAGATGTTATCAATCCCAGAAAGACATGTGCATACTATCAATTATCCAGTAGAAATTACGTGTTCGGGACAGGTAGGAGTTCCCTTAAAGAATTGGACATGGCAGTGGCGAGACGATCCGTTGAATAAAACGTGGCTGCCTTATCAATATCCAGATAACATTAACAATGTGTACAGCTCGCGCAACTTTGATTGCGACTCGTTCACCTACTCAACTTTGAAACATACCATGACCGAAAGAGGAATAGAGTTCAAATGTATTTTAGGAGATTCCGAGGCCTACAGTTTGACAACTACTCTTTATCCTAAAGGTAAGAAACACACCAGGACGTAAACGCATAGATGTGCTATGGTCTGAGATCATGTATCAACAGTGTTTGTAAATCCTACTTGTGATTCATCTGACAGTATCAATCATCCCTTTATCTGTAGTACTATGCAATGTTATGATATGATATGAATCGCTAGTCAGATGTGGAAAGACACTAAGCCAAAATATCCCCACATCCAACGTGTGACGCATACTCTCTTCTGCTACATATTTTAATAAACTTGTATATTCTTCGTACTATCTCAGTAGTTAATCCGTTTGTCTTACCAGAATTAACAATGAAACAGTTCGTTTCTATATGAGTATGTGCGGGACTGGATACATAGGTTACAAGCATAGTTGCAACACAATACTTGAAATTAACATGTCTTTCTCTCCATCCCCTAATTTGCAGACCGAGTTTACTGACGGAATGCCAAAATCATATGGCTGTCCTACAAATCATTGAGGTCTATTCCATCCAGCCGGTGTCTCATGAACCTCGGCGTCCTCTCCCGAATTTAGCAGTTGTCTGTCGAACGCTAAGAGCTCTGTTGGTTCTTTTTACCCTTGGGTTTCAGCTTTCAATTATCTAATTGGTCAAATATGATGTAATTATTGGTTACCAAGCCAATTTATGCAATAGGAACTGGTGATTTGGTGATATTTTATTTTCACAAAGAATCGGCTTTGTTTTGGTTTTATAAATCTTTTTATGTGTCAACTACTCAATCATTCATTTGAGTTCGTGAGATATGACTCGAATACAATGTGTGAATCTAATAATTAGTTAAAGATACAATATGGTCGCAATAAAGACCATAGTACTACATATCTTAAGAATCATACGAGTGATTCCCCAGCATTGTCCATCACCTCCGTGCCTTAAGACTCATACGAAGGATTCACCGGCAATGTCCATCACCATACGAAATTTTGTTCATCGATCTTGATCTTGAAAGTTATCCAGGGACCAGTTTCCATTTGGTGTGTAGATATGACTTCTATACAATGTGTGAATCTAATAATTAGTTAAAGATACGATATGGTCGCAAAGACCATATTACTACATATCTTAAAAGTCATACGAGGGATTCCCCGGCATTGTCTAATTTCTCCGTCCTTTGAGAGTCATACGAAATTTCGTCCATCGATCTTGATCTTGAAAGTTGTCCCCGAATCAGTTTCCATTTGGTGTGTAGATTGTAATACTTTTCATCTGTTGAAGAATAACTGTTTGTTGTATGTTGGTATTTATTTTGTTGCCTTATTTATAAATTACTGCATATATTTTTTAGTGATCTCGTCCGGTCAATTACAAATTCAAAATTTACCAGGCGCCGATAACAAAAACCGAAAATTTAAATTGAGATGTTCACCGCAAGTCGATGGTGGTTATACAAGACTAGACTCAATATGGATTACACGTAATAGACGCAACCAAGGGAGGTTCTGGAAAATTGATAAATTTGGGCGTTCATCATCTTATGAAGGGGTTACTGTCACGGGTTCCTTTGACATAGCAGCACCACTAAATTCGTATCTAGCAATTGAATACAGTCCGTCGTGTGGAGTCCACGACCAATATGTGTGTACTACAACCGGGAGCATTAACGATAAACTACAGCGCTTAGAGGAAACTAAAAATGTCACAGTTGACAGTAAGTATCTGTTTTTCTTCCACCCGAACTACTAAACGGTTTCATTTGGCCGACCCATGATCCTAAAGCCTTTGGTCCTGCACTGCTGACAAGAGGACACCAACCTGAATAAATCGCTAAGAACTTTCTGCGCCAACCCCCATACCTGCAAAACTCTATTATAGTTTTTCCTACCAATACTCTGTTTATTACAGTTTTTCCTTGCAAAACTCTGTCTATTACAGTTTTTCCCACCACTCTATCCATTACAGTTTTCCTACCAATACTCGTACCAATACTCTGTCTATTACAGTTTTTCCTGCCACTACTCTATCCATTACAGTTTTCCTACCAAAACTATGTCCATTACAGTTTTTCCTACCACTACTCTATCCATTACAGTTTTCCTACCAATACTCTATTACAGTTTTTCTTACGCTTTTTTATTCTCTGTCCATTACAAATTTCCTTTTAATACTCTGTTTATTACAGTTTTTCCTACCAGTATTGGTACAAGTAAAATACCCAACACGTACTTTTCTACAATCGGCGATAATCTACAATTAAAATGCGAGGGGGATATCGGTAACCCCCCACAAAATACCTCCTGGCTATGGAGACCTAATTCTAACTCTTCATGGAGGGCTTACGTTCATTCCGAGGAGGATATATCCACAGCTATTGTTCGACCGAAACAAGCAGGATGCCAATATTCGACAAGAAGTTTCTTAAGTTATACTGTGAAAGATGAAGATAATGGTAAACAATTCCGATGTACAGCAGCAGGTTTGGAGACGTATAATCGGGACATTACCATCTATTTAACTAGTAAGTTGTTTTTCATCAATTTTAGTTAATATACCATTTTTATATGTCACCGATTTTCATCCCACGATCCGTCCGTCAACAATAGACCCGTTAACGTGTTAGTGGCTTCAGTTTTAAACGGATTATTTTTTTTTATCAAATTTGGTGTGAAGCATTAGGGTCAACCCTGAGTTATTTTCCCTTTTCATAAAATTATAAAGGCTACAGTTTTTAACGGGTTTTTCTTAAAATTTGGTTTGAAAATTTGGGCTCATAAAAGGATGAACCCTGTCGATATGTAACGCTATGTGACCCCACATTCCCGCATTACTACTCCCATTCCCGGAACACCTTGTTAACGCATATATATAAACATAGAATATATGTTTATATCCCAAAGAACTTGATTCCTGTCGATATTCGCGCCTATCGGACCCTAACTTTAGGGGTTATTATGTCTAGATCCTATAGATGTCACAGTTTTTATTTGATCTTGATGATACTTAAATTATATGTTTATATCTGAAAGATATTGGTTCCTGTCGATACTTCGGACCGTAAACTTCTGGATTATGACCCCTGATTGCATGAAAAAAAACGCTTTTCTTAACTGTCCATATCTTGCAATCGCCTGTAATATTTTTAAGGGTGATGTGCAAATGACCTTTGTGATGATCTTTATTTAGGAATCTGGAAACAGTCTTTGGTTTTTTTTCTGTGTTGGTGTATGTAAAACAAAATACCGTTTACCAAAAATATAGAAGTAGGATGATGTACGAATGACATTTTCCTGTGGTTTTGTGGTAATCTTTATTTTGGGACCTGGGAGGCTGGAGTTGGTTAAAACAGCTTTGGCTTTTTTTTCTGTGTTGGTCCTCAGCATTTTCACAGAGCCAAAGGTGTGTTTATTGTATCATGCAGCAATTACTTTACGCGACTTTCTCCGACTATGATAGAAGTAAATAGCCTCGTGTGGTCTGTGGGATATGGTTGTCGAGTGGTAAAACACTGCTCTGTAGATCATAAGGTCTGTCAAAGAGTTACATGTGTGGTTTCTATCTCAGGTGTAGATTGTTGTACAGGTTCTGCCCCACCCACCTCCTTCCACCGTCTTCTGCTATATGCCCCTACGCATAAACCTAAATTGTGTGGTGCGTTCGCAAAACCGTATGTCTGTCATTAACAGACTGATCTTTTATTTACAGATGTTGATGCCAACCGTATTTATATTTCTCCGCCAGTTTTCATCCCAAACAAAACTAGGACATTAACCGTAGAATGTTCACTAAGCGACCACTCTCGTTACGACACAATGGAATCAGTTGAAATACAGAAACTGCCACTAAAAATAACAGAATCTAGTATTTTGTTAGGGTCTGTAGGCAACGGTACTGCTGTTCTTGGACCGGGGATATCACCCAACAAATATAGCCTTCAGATACAATCAACAAAACCTGGTGTTGCTACTAAAGCAAACTTGACAATTAAACAACCAGACTGTTCAGATGCAGGGCAATACAGATGTATCATAAAGGTTTCGAACGATGCCGGAATTCAAAACTTGCAAAGTGATTTTCACTTAAAAGCAACAGGTAAGTTTATGTTTTATGTACTTAATATCAATTCTAACCACTTCACGATCAACGACGTTTCGATCCACTTATCAGCAGTAGTGACGAGAGAGAGAGTGAGAGAGAGAGAGCGAGAGAGAGATGGGTTTTACGTCCACTCGACACAAACTAGGTCATTTTGGGACTAACATATGGTTTAATTTTATTTCAATGATTCGCTTGGGCGTAGGTGTCTTTAGCAGTGGGAGGACCCGGAGAAAGCCCACAAGGTTGGACAAGCGACCCTATTCCTTGTCACGTAGAACCGGGGATTCGAAACCACGCCAGTTGTCTCAATGACAGGCCTTGTACAGGACTTGTACAGGCCTTGTACAATGATACAGCGCGCACGTGCTAACCACATGATCACGTTTCGATACACCTATAATCGATCTGGATCCAAGCACTAACACTTACATAGGTGTTCCTTTGGGGTCGTTTATGAAGAAAATCATGTTACTTACTCACATACATGACACCGCGAACCTTTTTGTGAACCCTACACACCAGTTTTACCATATTCGGAACCGCGTCATTTCACCATAATCTAAAACGTTCGGATCAATTCATGAACCGACCATGCCATTTGATACCATCAGTGAATAAAGCTGTTGCTTGTGCATGACCGATATAAATTGGGTATCATATCATTCTTCATTTTATTCTTACAATTTAAAAGGTACACCACCCATGGTTGTCCGTCAACCCGAGCAATCCATGTATCCAAAACCTACCAGAATTAGCCTGGGATGTACTGGTCTCGTAAAATATACAAGGTACACCATCCATTGTTGTCCGTCAACCCAAACAATCTGTGTATCAAAGTCCTATCAGAATGAGGCTGGAATGTAGTGGTCTTGTAAAAACTGGACTTGGCATTGGTGACTTCCCGGGGACAGCTGTCCTCGTTAAGCCCCCCGTCCTTCACAACTGACAAGGAAAAACCACGCCGGAAAATCCCGGTGAATTTTATCGACTAACACTTAGATCGGGGGCGCTACCTTACTTAATAGTAACAATATGGATATTATTTTACAGTTGAACCCAGCGACATGAAAATGGAGGTGATTAGAGACACTGACCATCGTCCATCGTCAATTGTATGTAGTGGAGTTACTAGAATTATGAGTGAGGAGTGGCGATGGGAATGGCGATCACCCCCATCTTACCCCAATTGGTCAGCCTATCACAATAGAAGTGAAAGTAGGAGAACACTCAACAGTAACAACTGTTCTTACTCTACATGGTCAACTCTAAAGCTGACTACAGACACCGTTACAGAGCTGAGATGTATTTTGGGGAATTCTTATAATCATAGTCTTAATCTCAAGTTTAACATGACAGGTAGATAGATATCTTCATATACAATACTAAATGAAATGAGGTTTACCGTCTGTCCTACCTTTCTACACCAACTGTCATAACGATTTGTGATATAAGGGAACATTTGTATTTGCACGTCAATGTGTACCCAGACTCTTCGTCCCATCATAACGACTAGGCGCTGTTTCTTGCCAGACCCTTCTACCTTCAACATTGACAAATTCTGGCCAACAATGGGATTTAACCACGAACTTTCTGCTCAGTGAGCCAGTACCTCAATCACAGAGCCACCGTGGCTCCCAGTAGACATGACATAATTTTATTTTATATCTTTGATATCCCTGGACGCTAAGTTCAAAGGTCAATATGATTATCAGGTCTATTGATATGCACCTCGCTTGGGTGAATCTTCTATATTGTTTTATTACACTGCCAAGAAATGTTTTAAACCTCCAATCAATACAATTTTATTTTATTTCAACAATTCACATGCGCGTAAAGATCTTTAACAATGGGAAGACCGAGAGAAAACCTATGGGATTAGACAGGCGACCTTACTCCTTGTCACATACTACGTCACTTGACTTAATGACAGAACTTGATTTTATTCAGTTATCACGTTTACAAATAAAGACATTGGTGTCTGTATAAAACAAGGCATTGACATAATAAACACCTACACCAAGTTTAAACATGCAAGGTCAATTAGAAGGAAAGTTATTGTGTCCCAAAAAGTGTGACGGACAGATAGACACACAGACGAACCCATTTTAATAGTCCCCCGCTTTCTTCGAAAGGCGAGGAAGAATAAAGTATATGTTGAAAGATTCCCAATTATAAGATCAACCATCCAATATTTATAAATATCAAATGATTAAATTTATGTTTAATTTTAACAGATAAAGATAAAGTTGATGTTAAAGATAAAGTTGATGTTGAAGAATGTTCCAGCTGCGAGTGTAAATCAAAGAAGTTATACTCTACTTCCGGTAATCATTGTCCGTAAGTTAAAATATTTATATTATATTTTGATATTCTGCTATTCGACCAAAAAGGTAGCTTAGCAATTTGTCCCGGACAAATACGATTTTCATTTATGGTAGGCACTCCTTCCTCCATTATATAATGTGGCGTCAATCTTGGATGTTCACGATAAAAACTATATTCACCAATATATCTACTTCTAATCCTACCACTTGTTTGCCCTTTCAACGATGTTAACCTACTACCCAATCGTGTTTACTACTTAGCAATGTTAACCTACTACCCAAACTTGTTTACCCTTTTAGTGATGTTAAACTACCACTTAAACTTGTTTGTCGTTTCAGCGATCTTAACCTACCTCCTAAACGGGTTCACCCCTTCAGCGATCTTAACCTACCATTTAAACTTGTTTACCCCTTCAACGATGTTAACCTACAAACTAAACTTGTTTTCCATTTTATCGACGTTAACCTACCACTTAAATTTCTTTGTCCTTTTAGTGATGTTACCCTACCACTTACACTTGTTTGACCTTTCAGCGATTTTAATCTACCATCTAAACTTGTGTAATCCATTATAAAATTGTTACAATAAAAATGTTAACTTCTCACCAAAATCAATTTATCCCTTGAGTGCCAGAGAAATGTTAGCCTCTCATTTGAGCCATTCGGCAATGACACAGACGTTTTTGTAATAAAACTCTTTCATGTATAATCATTTGAATAGAACAGACTATGAACATATTTGCTGCTTTCATCTTGGGATACCCAGAGCTATGACTTCGCTATGGCTTGATGTTAAGGTTTCAATAGAATTATTATCTCTGAAACGTAATGGACGAAGATGAACATTCATTTTATAAATAATTAATTCCCCTTAGACATACCGCAGTTATGTCCTTGTTTTGACGTCAAGCTATTGTGTAACTAAGCGAGGTAAAACTAAGCGACATCATTGTCTTTTGTATTAGCCCTGAAGACGCCGTAAGACCGAAAGATCTTGGCACTAATGTAAAAAAATTAAATATAGATTATTTCATCCAAATATTAGTATTTTTTGGTATATATATATATTTTCTACAACTAAATACAAATACAAGCAAGTATCATTGAATACAGCCATTGGATAACCTATGGTTGTATTCAATGGTTTGGACACGTACTACTTTAGTCCAGAATGACATCACTTTCATAATTACGTCAAACTGTAATACTTCACCACTAGGCAACCACAATTTTGGTAAAAAAAAAGAGAAAGAAAAAAAGGGCGGAAACTTTGATGAATTTCAACGTTATTGGTGATGATTTGTTTTTTTGGTTTTTTTTGATAATCTGGATAGTACAGTGTATTTTGAGATTTGCATGTAGATATAGAACATACACAGAACTCAATGACCATTGAATACCGCTCGGGTTATTCAATGGTTAACTCGAGTGTATCGCTGCCGCATGTATATATATATTTGAAATGATTGATTGTTTCAGGGACTTGTTGAGGCTTTATAAAGATTGTTTATCAATAGAAGACTTAAATAAGTTAGGTTGCCCAGGTAAGTTGTCAGCTCAATTCGATGATGGGGAGGGGAATATTGTCCTATGTTGTGATACGTCGTAATATCTTCTTATGGAGTATACTCCACAATTGACCACGCTACCCTAACGGTTTTACGAGCATGGCATGGCTAAGAGGGGATCGTCCAAATTGACGATACCCTTATTTCGATTTCGCACAATGTAGCCTCGATCATCAAGTACGGAATACAAGAGTTCTAAGCGATTATTTCACCTTATGGGTAACTTGCAATGTGGACAGTCTAAACCATGTTCACGGCGTCCATGTGTGGTTGAGTTCACTGAACCTGCCTCGTAATGCCGAGTGACTTATCTAGCACTCAGGCCTGTAACCAGCAACATCACGATTGCTGAGAAGATTAATATTGTGATGGATCCAGGTGTCTTATTACAATCATTGGTGTAAAGCTGTGATTATATCGATACACAATAATATAAGCGTCATAAATTTAAAGGTGTAACCATTTACAGAAAGTTCGGTCATACCGAGCGTGACGTCATCACAGGCCCCAAGAATAAGAACAACTAGGGGATCAGATCCTGATCTAAAATATTCTGTAGCCGAGTGAGTAGCAATCAATGTTAGCTTAGTGACTAATAACCAGAATCTCTTGGAACCCAAAACAAAACTGTCAGATCTTTTTATTATGAACTCTTCTTTCTAGAAACAGTGTGTATACTGATAGCTCATTGAAGCTAGACCACTGTATTTTATGATCAGTAGTGGAATACCGCATTTTATCAGTGAAATAAAAGTGTTATTCCACTGGCTAAAGTAATCCATGTTGTTTTTACCTAAAATGATTGTAAAATCATAAAATAAATAGAACATTTGTCGTTTTGTCGTGAATAACATATTTTATTTCATCTCTAAGCAAAAAAACGTTTATATTTTCACTCATGCTACGCATTCGTGAAAACATAAGTTTTCTTGCTTCTCGATGAAATAAAATATGTTATTCACTCTAAAACGACAAATATCCTCTATTTATTGTGAACCCCTCGTTCTAGAAACAGTGTGCATACTGATAGTTCACTAAGGCGTATTTGTATTGTGAACTTCACGTTATAGAAACAGTGAGCACACTGATAGTTCACTGAAGTTCATTTTTATTGTTAATTCTTTTTCAAGAAAGAATGGGCATGCTGATAGCTCACTGAAGATCTTTTTTATTGTGAAACCACGTTCTAGAGACAGTGAGCATACTGATGGGTCACTAAAGCTGGACAGTTTGATTGTGAACTCCACGTTCTAGAGACAATGAGCACACTGATAGCTCACCGGAGATCCTTTGTATTTGGACCTGTATTTTGAATTTTTGTATTTTTCAGATCCTACTGGAGTTGGTATATTGACATACCCATCTGTTCTACTGCATCTCGTCTCGTTTGTGGTGCTCATCAATTGTAGTTTATGACTTAAGATTAATTAATAGATCAATACAGATATTGTGATATGCAAAACGATTTGCAACTGGAAAGAAACGACACCAATTAAAGGGGCATTATGAAAGAGTAGCTAAAGGGCTGGCAGTTGTCATTATAATAGCTAAAAACTAGATAATGTAAAGGGAATTTGCTGAAAATTTCAGTCAAATTGATCCACTCTGAAGCGATATATTAGCTTTTGAAGTTTAGGCCTAGCCTCGCCCATCATTACTAAATCGGTACGATAAACAAACATAGTCTCGGTTATCCATTTTTAGATTACATCATCAGTGAACGTTGAGCAGCAAATCGGATTCAAATCCAGTAAATATCGCAGGCTAGCGATGACATCGAGGGTTGATTATGGTCTGGATAATATAATTAATGTCTAATTTATAATTTAGATAACATTTCAGACCTAAAGACCTGAAGTAGACAGATTTAGCTTTTGCATAATGTATGTTTAATGTTAAAATTAAAATAAAATATAACTAAGCAACAGTTGATTGATAATTCAATACAGATAGTGTGCTAGTCAAATCAGTTTATAACTGGCAATTAATGGTATTAATTAATATCTTTGAAAGGCATTTAGTGAAAGTGATATATAACAGACATCTTGATGGATAACATTCACTAGGTTTATTAACTACAACGTTTCAATGATGATGCTCTCACCGGTTATCCGTAAAGCTGTGTGTTTATTGATATTAATTAATGTTAAAATTATATATAAAATAAAAGATGCAACATATTTACTTGTAATGTATCAATCTAGTTAAATGTATGGCGTGTAACGCTCTGGGGCTAGTTACCACCATTCGGTAAATCAATCGTTTCCGCCTATAGGCCACCCATTGTCTGTGCTTCGACAACAACTAATAATAAAATGAAATGGGGTTTAGCGTCTCTTTTTCTCCACAAACTAGGCTAATAAAGACGGGGGCAAAAGTCATGTTGTGTGCTATAAAGGAAACTGTGCCCGCGCAGCGGCGCTACAACCTATTCCTATATTAAATTCCAACTATACACGGGACCTAGGCTTTCGTCCCGCCCTGCTCCATATTACCAACACACCCGGGGTCGAATGGTGGTCATCATACCTATCGCCTACATGTCCTTATAACATCTAAAGACGGCTATAGAGAAGGGACAGCATGGGGATGAGGTTTGGGTTAAAGCACGAGTTTAGCACATTGATCAAATGTAACGCTAGAAGACACATCTATACCCACCATCAACAAGTTATTATGATAAATATCTAGAAAGTTTCCACGAGACACACCATAGCATAAACTAAACATGAATCAATAGTGGTTTGGACGGTTTCAAAACGAGTAAGTTTCCCAGCTATTTAAAGCACATTCTATGGCGTGGCCTTGTGAAATGAGGTTGATTGTCAAAGTAGGCACTAAAACTCTTTCCCAGATTTTTTGTTATAGATATACCATATTCAAAATTTTATATGTATATAATGTGCATAATGTATTACATATCGCCCCTTATCGGTCAAATTTTTCAATTGTTTGGGCGCTACTGACAAAAACCTACCATCTTATATACTTATGTCCTATATGTATAAATCGCCATTATATCGCCATAAACGGCTAACATTTTCTGCAGAAAATAACATACCGAGAATTTATTACGCATATAATAGTTTTAAATAACAATACATTTTCTGTGTACATTTCAAAGTGACCTGTTTTCGCACCATAACTTAATGCTGAACTCCGATTACAAAACTACAGAAATAATTAAATAATAAAAAAAAAACAGTTAACACCCTGAACAACCGCCATATTTGTAGAACCAATTTGTAGAACCAACATGGCGATCGCGTAGGGGTAAAAAAAAGCACAGACAGGCCACACCCACATCCAGTTTATGCCGTGTCAAGCAAAGTGTGCATTTCCGGTTAGCTAGTCAACTACCAAATACCTCCTGACTGATTGAAGTTTTTTCACTATCACTACTATCAGCTTACTGGATATATCATTGCTACACAATTATTATGTCTGATCAGGTATATATTATTTTACTAATTAGATGAAATCAGCCAACCACGAATGTCCACGAAGAAAATATCACCATCCAAAAATGTTTTATTTTAATTATTTCTGTAGTTTTTTAATCGGAGTTCAGCTTTAATAGCTGTAGTTAAATGATATCGGAAACAATTAATATCGCCGGTTTCAAAGTATCTTTATGAACCCTCATGTTTTTTGTTTCGACAAAAAGGGACGTGAAGTTAAATTGAGGGAAGGGAGACATCTACTACGCATTTAACTTTAGAAAAATAACCCAAAAGAATAAGAAATATTTAAACGTTTGTTGTCTGAGATATTGTGCATTTGCTTTGGTTGGCAAAATTTACACTTCTTGTTGACCCCCCCCCCCCCTTTGGTGGCAAATTGTGGATTCTCACAAACATCCGTCATATTTCAGTCTCACAACAGGACGTCTCCTTCAAATGATGTATTAATTATTCTAAATCTTAATTTTTAATGTAGGATCTCATCATTAAAAATGCCTATAGTCCCGCCCTTGCAAGTAGGATCGACATACAACTAGCATGTTTTGTCGTTCCAGTCACAATGTCAAGATGGCAGCGATGACGTCAAGCTCCGTTCTTGGTCCATAGTGCTTGTTTTACTAACTTGTCGATTGTCGACTTTATGTGCAGTAGCAAACATATTTTTGCAATTATCTTGTCGATTAAACAAGGGAATGGCAGTTGTGCACGATTTGTTATTGTGTTTAAGAACACTAATGACTACTTATACAGAGACTATTGAAAACTCATATAAATATCAATTATCTTTGACCGGCACTAACCAAACAGTCAATATAGAGCTGCGGGTTATATCTCTCCGGAGATATTATTTCCAAACGGAAAAAATATCTGGCTCATTTTAGGGCTAGTATTATTATTAAATACTCATAATATGCTGCCAACCCTGCTCCCCAAGAAAAGTAGACAGATCACCTGTCAAATTTCCATCATAATATTACTTTGCACTGCGTAGACCCTTCTTTAACACCACAGCTGATTCAGAAATGTAAAACGTTAAACCCTATTGCATGTTTGAAGTCATTAGGGATAGGGTGGGGGTATTGGTCATCTTTCTGGAGGAACATCATGTTGCACGAGAAAGGGCGTGCTGAAAGATGACGATACTGTTCCCTGAAGCGTTCCAAGCTATTATTTCGGCTGTCAATGTGAAAATTCTAAATCCAGTTCACTGTGATATTAGTCACGAACGGGGCCCCTGGGTCGTAGAGCGCACTTAACCTGCCTTAATATTACTGGAGCTAGTAATATTAATACCACCAGGGTCATATGTACGTAACAAATCGTAAGGTGTAACCATTTACAGCAAGCACCAGCATAACATCATCAGAGCCCCCCCCCCCGCCCCAAAGGAATAACGGGGTGGATAGCGCTCGGAGAACAGATCCTGGTTCAACAAATTTCAAAATGGAGTGAATCCTAATAAAATATATCATCAACCAACTTTTATACTTATGTCCTATATGTATAAATCGCCATTATATCGCCATAAACGGCTAACATTTTCTGCAGAAAATAACATACCGAGAATTTATTACGCATATAATAGTTTTAAATAACAATACATATCCTACATATTTCAACAAGAAGTGTAAATTTTGCCAACCAAAGCAAATGCACAATATCTCAGACAACAAACGTTTAAATATTTCTTATTCTTTTGGGTTATTTTTCTAAAGTTAAATGCGTAGTAGATGTCTCCCTTCCCTCAATTTAACTTCACGTCCCTTTTTGTCGAAACAAAAAACATGAGGGTTCATAAAGATACTTTGAAACCGGCGATATTAATTGTTTCCGATATCATTTAACTACAGCTATTAAAGCTGAACTATAGAAATAATTAAAATAAAACATTTTTGGATGGTGATATTTTCTTCGTGGACATTCGTGGTTGGCTGATTTCATCTAATTAGTAAAATAATATATACCTGATCAGACATAATAATTGTGTAGCAATGATATATCCAGTAAGCTGATAGTAGTGATAGTGAAAAAACTTCAATCAGTCAGGAGGTATTTGGTAGTTGACTAGCTAACCGGAAATGCACACTTTGCTTGACACGGCATATACTGGATGTGGGTGTGGCCTGTCTGTGCTTTTTTTTTACCCCTACGCGATCGCCATGTTGGTTCTACAAATTGGTTCTACAAATATGGCGGTTGTTCAGGGTGTTAACTGTTTTTTTTTATTATTTAATTATTTCTGTAGTTTTGTAATCGGAGTTCAGCATTAAGATATGGTGCGAAAACAGGTCACTTTGAAATGTACACAGAAAATGTATTGTTATTTAAAACTATTATATGCGTAATAAATTCTCGGTATGTTATTTTCTGCAGAAAATGTTAGCCGTTTATGGCGATATAATGGCGATTTATACATATAGGACATAAGTATATAAGTTGGTTGATGATATATTTTATTAGGATTCACCCCATTTTGAAATTTGTTGAACCAGGATCTGTTCTTCGAGCGCTATCCATCCCGTTATTCCTTTGGGGGGGGGGGGGGCTCTGATGATGTTATGCTGGTGCTTGCTGTAAATGGTTACACCTTACGATTTGTTACGTACATATGACCCTGGTGGTATTAATATTACTAGCTCCAGTAATATTAAGGCAGGTTAAGTGCGCTCTACGACCCAGGGGCCCCGTTCGTGACTAATATCACAGTGAACTGGATTTAGAATTTTCACATTGACAGCCGAAATAATAGCTTGGAACGCTTCAGGGAACAGTATCGTCATCTTTCAGCACGCCCTTTCTCGTGCAACATGATGTTCCTCCAGAAAGATGACCAATACCCCCACCCTATCCCTAATGACTTCAAACATGCAATAGGGTTTAACGTTTTACATTTCTGAATCAGCTGTGGTGTTAAAGAAGGGTCTACGCAGTGCAAAGTAATATTATGATGGAAATTTGCCAGGTGATCTGTCTACTTTTCTTCGTTTTCCAACTACAAAGGCTTCATTTTTGTGCAGACTAATGTTTACACAGAACCTCTGTTTCCGCTCGTCATGCACCACTTGTAATATTTTATATACTATACGGGTTATTTAAGTTCTCTAAATGGGGCTCTGCTTAATGTATGGAAGTCGATTACCTACAGGTGGGTGACAACGTGAACTGAGCTAAGTAGGTAGGTACCTTGCATTATTCTACAACTTTCTTAGACGGCTTAGAGGCCGGGAAACAGACATCATTCAAGGCCGGTATAGAAGCATTATGTAGATTTATCAAGGTATATTCAGATAGCATTTGGTATGCCCAGGAGGCATAAATTACGGGATAGAGACATCATTCGAGGTTAGGGATATAGACATTATGCCAGATTCTCAGAAGAACATACACACAACCCCTGGGTTAAGACATCAAGTAGATTTATCAAGAGGTGTGAGACTCTCGCCACAGTACACACGCCAAACGATAGAGAACTTATATTTAGCTTATATTTAAAGTCATTGCTGTGTGTGTAGTTTCCTGCATATCACTTTTCATCTCTCATTGAAACTTAATCTTACACCCGGTCGACACACCGCAACACCGAGACGAGATCTAAAACTACTTTTTTTATTAGGTAAGATTCTGGTGAAATAATATGTGAAATAAATTATCAAAAATACCTTTCTGCAAGCGGTAACTCTGGGTGTTAATCAATGAGGATTCTGACAAAATGTCTCACTGTTCTGCTCCGACTGGACTAACAAAGATTGGCATATGCCATACAGTGTGCCGGACAGCGGCAAAACAGCCTATTCGTATACCGAATTACATCTACAAAGGGATCTTTTACGTGCATGCCAAAGTGTGCACGGAGCCTCGGTTTATCGTTCATACGTTGTCCCTTGCCAGGGCCTCCGCTCTGCACCGCTGGAACCACGCCGGAAAAATACCATGAACTTTCGCAGTTTTATTTGTGATCGTAAACTACAGTTTAGGTCGTTTCTACAACTTTATTATTTAAACCGCTATGCACCAGTGCTCCACGTTCTCAATAACTTGTATATAGCTTTTGATGGCTGCTCTGAAAGTCTTGGTGAACTCTGATGAAATTCACTCAACACCCTCCTTTATAACCCCCTAATTTCTTTACGTCATAGACTGACCTTGGCGTTAATTTCCTTCCTAAATGTGGGATAAAAACCTTATTTGGTTGCCAAAACATGTCATAAACAAGATAGAGAGAGAGGGGAAGAAATGGGGTTTAACGTCCACTCGACACAAACTAGGTCATTTCGGGACTAACATATGGTTTAATTTTATTTCAAAAATTCGCTTGCGCATAGGGGTCTTTAGCAGTGGGAGGAAACCGGAGGACCCAGAGGAAACACACGAGGTTGGATAGGCGACCCATATCTTTGTCACGTACTTCCAGGGATTCGAAACCACGTCAGTTGACTCAATGACAGGCCTTGTGATACAGCGCGCACGTGCTAACCTTTCGGCCATCCAACCCTCCAAAACACGATAGAAATTTTATGGATATTTTGACAATGGTAAGAACATAACCAGTGTTTCTACCAAAATATCACTGGTTTTTTTTATATACATATAAACTCACCACTCAATTAATTTGAATACGTGAGATCTGACTCTATCGGAAGTGTGAACATAATACTTAGTTAAAGATACGATATTATTACATTCCTTTCGACGCCGAAGACAGGTAGTAAGTAAAACAGGGAATAAAAAATATGGGTATTATGAGAAGTAGGAACCCTTGAAAACGAGGAATCATTGCGAAGTAAATAAATACGATAAGAAACTTCATGCATAAAATATTTCAATATATGATAAAAGTTCAGTCCTATAACGATTTACACTCCTATAGTAAAACACAAAACATGACTGTTTTAAACGTTCATCCGTTGACTTCCTTCCCAAAATATGGAATAAAAATCCCCATACCCCAAAGACCGGGAGGAGAACATTACCTTATTTGGTCTACCAAACACATGTCATAAACATATAGTATTCGATGGATATTTTGACAATGGTAAGGACATAGCCCGTGTTTTTACCAAAATATCACTGATATGTTTATCTATATACACATCATAGTGTACGTGAGATCTGACTCTATAGAAAACGTGAACATAATAATTAGTTAGAGATACAATATCGTCGCAAAGACCATATTATTACACTCTGCCCTGCACCACTGATAAGGGGAAACGAAGCCCTAAATATGTTCGATCCAAGTAAGGCTACCGGTATTGACTCTATAGGACCAAAAATTCTAAGGATGTCGATAGACTATATTTTTAAATCATTAACTTATATAATAAATTTATGCATCTCAAACAATATTTTCCTTGAACAATTGAAATTTGCTAAACTTATCCCAATCCACAAGAAGGAAGACAAGGATCTACCAAATAAGTATAGGCCCATTTCTGTCTTGCCCACAATATCAAAAATAATTGAAAAACACATTAGTTCTCAAATTACAGACTATTTTGAAAAATACAAACTATTTTATGAATTTCAATCTGGTTTTAGGAAAAATCATTCATGTTCAACAGCCTTATTGAGAATTACAGATATCTGACTGGAAGAAATAGACTCAATTAATATTACCGGAGTTGTTTATCTCGATCTTAGTAAGGCTTTTGATCTTATAGACCATAGATTAATCCTCCAAGAATTAAAAATATACAAATTTGACTTGAAATCGCATAAACTAATTTCATCCTATCCGGCATTATGAAAGCAACAAGTAGTCTTTGGGGCATGTCATTCTACTGTCACTGATGTTACTGATCCCACAGGGATCCAATATTGGTCCTTTACTTTCCTTGATTTTTATAAACGATCTCCTACTTCATGTAAGTAAATGCCATACTGATCTTTTTGCTGATGACAGTACCCTTCATTTCTCTAGCAACAATCTAGTTAGTATAGAGATTGCTCTTCAAGAGGATTTACTAAATGGATTTAATTGGTGTAATGATAATGGTATGGTAATCAATGCTAAAAAGACCAAAGCCATGTTAGTAGCTTCAAAACACCAAACAAACACAAACAGCTTATCATTAAAAATTAATGGAGAATCATTAGAAAATGTATCGGAAGCAGTTTTATTAGGACTTACTGTTGACCAAAATTTAGATTTGAATCTCCAAATTAACAAAATTTCCAAAATCATATCCTCCAAAATCTACCTCCTGACAAAGTTTTTAAAAACCTTATTTACCACACCATCTTAGAATTTATTTTTCAACGGCTATATTTTACCATGCTTAGATTACTGTTCCACAGTTTGGGGTAATGCCAATAAAGTTACAAACTAGAGGTCCTGTATAAACTTCAAAAGCGTGCGGCAAGGAGCATTTTGGATGAAAAACCTGATATACATTCGGCACCTTTATTTGAATCTCTAAATTGGCTTACAATCTACCAACGCATTCAATACAACCAAGGAATGCTCACCTTCGAAATTCTAAGAGACAAATTGTCAACATATTTATATAAATCATTCTGTGAAAATTCTAAATTGACTGAAACTACCGGCCATGACATTGAAATCAGAAAGTCAACTTAAATTAGCAATTCCAAAAAGTAAGACAAAGTCAATGACAGGAACATTCCAATATACCGCTTCTGTATTCTGGAATTCCCTACCGCAAACTGCGAAACATGCGTCTTCAAGTTTTATCTTCAAAAAAAAGTTATTAAAACACGTTAAATCTTTTAACACTTGTTAATCACTGTTGTCCTCTGAATGTATGTTTATTTGCCTTTTTTTTTCTTTCTTTCTTTCTTGTTTGTTTGATATTTCTTTTTTATAAGCTTATATAATATGATATAATGTTGTAAATATTATTACTGTGTAGCTGCTAGTTTTATAGGGTAGGAGGGACATGTTGAAAATTAGAACTCATGTACTAAATATGTTCCCTCAGAAAATAATGTCATTATTATTATTATTATAAACAAATAAAAATATTATGGAAGAAATCTGACTGATCGGTGTTAATAGGGGTCATCCAATCAAAAGTGAAATTATTTAATCTGTTTTTACAAATGTAAATTGACGTCCTTTCTCAACACAAAGTAGGTCGTTTCGGGACTAAAATATGGTACAATTATATATCAATAATTCGTTAAGCAGTTGGGTCTGGATGTAGGAGGACCCGGAGAAAACCCACGAGGTTAAGAAGCCGACTCTACTCTTTGTCACGTACAAGTGTGGAATCGAAACCACACCACTTGCCTTAATGACATGACAGACCTTATGATCTAAAGCGCACGCGTCGGGCCATTCAGACCAGAAGCTTTTTGATTTATTACCCATTCCCCCATCCCAAACCCCTACCCATGCCTGTGAGAGGCCAGTCAGATTTGAAGTAAAACGCAGTCAGGGTTCTAATAAAATATAAAATTCGGCGTGTTAAAGGAAAGAAAACAGAAAAAATCAAATTGTTTATTTTCAGCTTTTCTATTATATTAAAATTTATCTAATGTTTATCTGTTATCAAAAGGCAAAGCAGTGTAGAGCTTTTCGGCCATGTCGTTGTGTCCAGCGCTCCTCATTGCAGCTATTATTCTGGGTAAGACATCGCGGCCTCTATGGAACAATATGTCTACAAGATTTATAGCTGCATGTGGATTTCCATCGGCCTTCTGTTTTCTTTCTACTTGATCTTTATCGTCATCGCTAATGATACGAAAAGTAATAAACTGACCCAGTATCATGGGGAGGTCAGCTTTGAAATCATCCACCAGTTGCATATAATAGTTTGTCCATATTGCGGAATGTGCAGCACTCATTCGACCATGCTGTAAAGTCGCTGAAAAAGAAAAGAATTTAAAGCTTAATAATGCATTATGTAAGATTTAGATAAAGAGCTGACAGTCTTTGCTATAAAAGTTAAAACATAGATAATCAAAAGTGAATATATTGAAAATTTCAATCAAATTACTTCAAGTTATGACCGCTTGAATAATATTTCCAAAGACTTTGAAATGCTATAAACGAATTAGGGGTACACTATAAAAGTGACTTTATTATATTACTTATTCCACATCTGGTGAATAACGAACAACTACCTAGATTGTTGTTCGTTATTCGCGAATACCGAACAATGTGGCACGCTTCTTCTGTTTTGGCCACGAAATGGTATAGCGGTTTGGTAGTATGGGGAATTCTGCTGCAATTGTTGCTCAGACCCACACCCCGGTAATTTCTCTGCCACCAGTGATCTATCGGCCGACCACAAGCCGTTTAAAGTAGGGCCTTTTCAGATGGGAGGGCGGCGGACTAACTACAAAGTTGTTGTGCTATGTTCAGCTCTCTCTCTCTTCGAACAAACGGAACACAACTGTATAAAACTATCAAGTTTTATTATGCATTAAACATATATACAGGTAAGTTTTGATGGACTGGGAAAACTCTTTTACGCTATTTATAAAGAGGCGACCTGTCCCAGCTCAAGCCGTCCTGTGTTATGTTCTGTTCTGTTTCTGTGTAATAGCTAAAAGCTATACTGTGTATAAACTGCAAGCAGTTACAGGTTGTATCTGTTCATTAAAACACAAACGTTTAAAGTATGTGTCTATTCATTAGATGCAGGCATCTAAAGAGCATTTTTTTGGTCGCTTCGACCCTGAAGACGGATATCCCTGTGAGAACAACTGACCCACGCTACTAGTGCGCGATAACACGTTCGCCTGGCTGTCCCGACAGGATGGCATTGGTTCTAAGAATGCATTCCCAGCTCATGCAAAATTATAACCTTAAGTAATCAAAGTATACATTGTCAACAATATACATGCAACATTATTTAACAGATGGACACATTGTGATTTATGATAAAGTTGACAAACAAAACTATATTCTAGTTTCGTTTAATAAGTCATAATTGCATGCTATAAAAATAAATTCAGCTATTTAAGTAAAGGGGGATAATAATACTCAATAATATCAGACAATGTATACTCTTCAAAAAAAAAGTAGGGGATATACAAAACAATACAAAACTGCAGAAATGCACTGCTGTTTTTATTAGAGGTAACCAGTGTATGTTAATAACAGGCCAATTGCCTACACATGAACATAAACAGTTCATATGGGCGGCTTATCGGACGGCCCCATTTCACTCGCAAAGAGATAAACTGTCAAAAGTGAAAATGGACGTTTTTGATTTTTGTCTTAATAATGAGTAATTGCTCCACCAATCCTCAGACATTCAGCAATTCTTCGTGGCATGCTCCTAATCAACCGTCCAGTCACGATTTGGGGCAATCTGACCCACTCCTCTCGCAGTGCCACGGCCACGTGCCACGTTGACGTCGACGAACACGTCTCCCGATAAAATTAAACGTAACACGTACACTAAAGCAAAGATACGCTAAAAGCTAAATCTTATGCAAGAACCGATAGGAAAGCAAACATGGATAGATAAACCAGCATGCGGCTGTTTTCATCAACCCTTCCTTGAAGTGTCAAATTTGACAATGAACCCCTCCCACGTGTATGGCGTTATTGCATGTCGCATATGCAGCTCAGTGGTTCTGTTGGGGCAATAAGTTCTTCATCTATGAACATACTCTCAAAGCATGTCAAATGTCCATGACTATTTATCATATGGCAACCTGCATAGGTATTTGCATTTCAATATCCCCTATTTTTTAGAAGAATATATTATGTTACATTTCCAACAAAATAGATTATGTAATAGAGATTTAAACTCATGCTAATAGTATGCTAAATAACAAGACGAGGGTTTCTTTCAAAATAAAAAATTAAACAAAATATATGGCAGATAGCAATATTATTATAAAACTTAGAAAGAGTCTGTCAACATACTATTCATACAGTTATCAAATATCCAGTTCCTCACTACTATAGAAATAACAGTCAGTGGCCTAAATCTAAATATAGCTGTTATTAGTCTCGACTATTTAGTCGTCTACAGACGAAAAATAAAACAATACTAACAAAACGAAACTAGCTTTGCCACGACATCAAACTGGCTCGCGAATAACGAACGACAAGCTAACTTCACGTAGCTTCGCTGAAACTACAGGTCACAAATCGATCGGGTTCATTCTGATCAGTGACGCTACAATATGGTCACGCGTGGTTGTATCATAATTGAAAAGGATATTCTGATTTCTGGGGAATTATGTATGGTATAAAATTATTGAAAGGGGCCTTCTAATTTCTGGGGAATTGTGTATAACGGGAATGGAATGCAAAAATAATTTTTTGAAAATGATTACTAACTATAGTCATATTGTATATCAAAGTGAAAGCGTATTTCGGAAGAATGCTGTAGATGTTACCACTTGGATATACAGTGTTTCCCCAATATGAAGTACATGTAGTAAACATCATATTTATCATATTCAGGTGCACTGGCTGGCATTATAATTTTTTTTTTACGTTGCCTATTATTTGTTATTATTTGTGCCTATTATTCAAATATAAAGCTAGCTCAGGAACACCCAACTCTCAATTATATAGCGGCATACTTAAAAATTTTAAAACTCGTGGAATAAACGAAGGCTTACCCTGGGCGGTACCACCGGTTGACTGTTGTGCCATTTCTTTATCACCCTGAAAGATGAGAACAGATTTTCAAATTTAGAATTCATTTAGCTTTTGAATTTATAATTTTCTATCTGAAATTGGCGGATGTTCTCTCAATTGACCAAGATTCTTGACAATCGCCTCATCATGTAACCAATTTAGTCCATTGGGTTTTACAACATCGACTACTGGACAGTACAGAGTAAAACACAGATCTTGTTGCCACGGATGTCAATCATTGCACATGAGCAAGCGTTCTTCGATTAAGTATGGAAGCCTATTGCGACCATTTCATATCTCGACGAGAAGTCAAGTTGAGGGAGCGAGAGGTGCGAGAACGCGATGGAACACAATTATTTCGAGTTGTCATGCCGCGACTTGTCGCCTTCAGAACCCGACAGGTCGACAAAATACAATTATCATTGCGCACGAGCATACATTCTTCGGTTAAGCATGGAACCTATTCCTGTCAGACTTGTGACCCTTGATCTTTTTGAGAGGGAGAGGCCTAATTATTTTTCACAATTGCCAGAGTTATTGCCTTTGATGACTTTGAAAATCGTATGGTGACCAAAGGGACAAAAGTTATCACTTGATTGACTGTAAATTTATATACTTTGTTTAAGGTCTTGAGAAGAAATTCTGTTAATTTTCAACTTTTTTCGATAACTTGAAAGGCTTATACAGTGTTTATGTCAAAGAATCCTATTGATAACTGTCGATAACTTGAACAGTTAGATTCTAATGATTATGATTTCTTAATCAGTTTTTAGTGTCTTTTAAATTTATTCATTACCGCCCAAAAAAAAAAAAAAACAAGTGACGACCCCTGTGGTGTGCGCAGACGAATTAGCTACCGTGGACACGTTTCGTTGCCTGGCAACCAATATTTTGTTAAAAAGTTTATACAGATACCGTTCTGTTGTTATTCAAAACGATCGATAAAACAGCAATTATTTAGCATTTGTATTTGGTTGCCACACCTGATCGTTTGTTTTAATTTGCAGCTACTGATCCATATCATAGTTGTTTTAAATATTTTTAAGAAGAGGGTCAGTTTTATATGCTGATATGTATTCTGGTGTATGATTTCAATATATCTATCATAATTTAGAATGCACTAAGCTACCTTTGCTATTATAAAAAATGATTAAAATTTAAGTTCCTTCCGGTATCCCACCCATTTGCACTAGTATGAGTATTAGGCCAATAAAACGAGAATAAGACAGAATATCAGCAATATTGATGCCCAGGAACGGGTGGTCTTAAACTTTGTTAATGACTTTAGATCTGATCGTAGCATAATGGCAATTGTTCGTTATCCAAAAGGTTATTTTCTAACACTTCGTAGCCGATGATTTTCTTTCAAATTTATTTTATTCTATCTAATTACGATTTATTTCTAATATCATTTATATCGTCAAAAATCACAGGGTCCGCCATTGAGTTAAGTGGTGTGGTTCAAGGAGTAGGGTCGTCTGGCCAATCTCCTTGGTTTTCTCTGGATCCTCTAGTTTCCTATACCTAGTTTGAGTCGAGTAAACGTTAAGCCCTCTCTCTCTCTTTCTCTCTCTCTATCTCTCTCTCACACTCTCTCTCAAATCTATTACACCCGCCCCGCACGATACCCCATTGTGATTTTCAGTTTAACTGTCCGTTATTCAATAGACGCTAGCCTCGTTTAACGCCAGCAACGTGCATTGTTCATGATCACAAAAAACAAAAAAAAAACAAAAAAAATTCGACCAACCATGTCTACGACGATGATGTCACATATTTCTTTTCCTTCCTTGTGGATAACCGGAAATTATACCTGGTATTAAAATTCTATACAAAACACCGATTTTAAAAGGCATTAGTCACATGAATAGTTTAACAAAATAATTGATATCAGCGTGCTATCTCAAGTGTTAGTATGATGTACTACGTTACACAAACCCACGAGGGAGCCGCTAACTGGAGGTCTCGTGTTCGATCCCAGTGTTGGTGGGAACAGTTCGCGAGAACGATTTTTATTCTGCTAGGTTCCCATGCGTTACGATAGGATTGTCCACGATCTGGTACGTACAGATACGTTCGGATATCTTTCGATACGATCAATACGATTGCTACGACTGACCTCTCAATATATGATAAGTCCAGACGGGATCAGCACGATTACTCCTCGATTAAAATCACGATTCCAATCGTAGTACGAACCTAGCATTAGCCAATCCGGAGTTCGAGGTCAAAAGGCAACGATGATCAACGCGAAGCCGATCATCCAAAAGCAAAACAATACGTAGGGGGTATGGTGAGCCTTTTAGAGAAAAATGTGAAAGTGGTCCAAAAATAGCCCTGTTTATATGGTTTTCAAACGAAATCCCACCCTTTGCAGAACAGAATTCCAATCACCCAATCAATCAGACTGTTGCACCTGGATTCACCGGCCACCAGAAAGTTAATTGTTCTAAATTTTACGATTCCCGAAAAGAAGATGAAACAAATAATGTTCGATGCCCGGAAAATAGAGTGTCTCTGTCGGTCTTTGATATTCATGGCGAATCTCCATTCCGTATTATATATACTACTTTCTGTTTGTGATATAAACAACTATTATCACCCAATAATACATTCTACAGTAGATATCGCTTGTGTGATATATTTCATAATCTACTGCGATATCTCCTTAGGAGATATCGCTTTACATGAATTTGATTGGTCAGTTGAAAAGGAACTACTTTTTTTTATTTTCAAAGAACAGTTCATTTCTTATTAAAAGTAACTTTTTTTTTTTAAAAAATGAACTATTGTTATTCAATTGACCTTGATGGAAACACTGGGTCAATATAAAGGACTTTGCAATGGTTGAATTGCTGTCAAAAAATGATGTATCACTACGCCGTAATGTTCAGTAAAAGTGAAATCTACAGCAAAGATATATATTTATCTATTTGTTCATGTAAGAAGGGATTGGGTGATAAATAAAATCTCCTACTCGTCTTTTTTGATATCAAAAAATATCAACACTCGTTGATAAAGTAAAAAAAAAACTCGGCAGAGCCTCGGTTTTTGTTACTTTATCAACTTGTGTTGATATTTTTTGATATCAAAAAAGACTGGTAGGAGATTCTCTATTTGTACTCTTAATATATCATTAAAGATTCGGCTTCTTAAAACAGGTTGATACTCACTAGAAGTATAGCGGTCTGACTTTAATAAAATGAAATTTAAATGTCTTTTATAGGCCCACTAATAAGGAAGATGTTTTTAAAGGTTTGTTTCGTTTTCGCTGAGTGATGTCTTGATCTAATTGTTTTAGACCCTGGTCTCTTTCAAGGATGGGATTCTCAAACCTGCAAACAACACTTATTAGTAGGCGGGTATAGATAACAATACACCTAGAACAAACTGCAACAGAAATCATTTCTTTGGGAACTGTTCAGGTGTGGTCTCTAGTACTTGTATAACAAAAGCGGCCTTTATCGGTCTTGGGGAAATATGCATAATTAACATAAATCCAAGATGGCCGCCAGTGGACCAGAAAATCGCCAAAATCTCCGAAGCAGAAATGAAATGAAATGGGGTTTAACGTCCTACTGTTTTGCCCCGAACTGGGCTAATGAAGACGGGCATACGCCATATACAGTGTGCGATGAGGGAAATTTTGCCCGGACAGCGGCACTACGGCCTACTCTTATATCGAATTCCGACTGTCAAGGGATCTTTTACGTGCACGCCAATGTGTACACGGGACCTCGGTTTTTCGTCTCATCCGAATGACTAGACAGCTGTCTTTGTTAGGCCCTCCGTCCTGCATCCTGGATGAACGTTCTCGGCCAATGCAGGGATCGAACACCCGACCTCCAGGCTAGCGAGCCAGCGTCTAACCCACTTAGCGACCGTGATCCCGGAATCTCCGAAGCGGTTGACTTTAGTGCAAATAAATGTATTAACGACCTAGGCCTATAGGAAATCGATACTCGTGAGTTCAAAAATGTCGACATTTTTAACCTACGATCTTATTATGACCTCGTAACGTCATTTTGATGGCATTACGTCGTTCTCATTGTGACGTCATTATCAAATTGTATTGTAACTACGCTCGGAAAATGTTAGAAACCATGAACCGCTGCAATCTGTTTCACCATAGATAATACCGTATGATTGCCGACTCGTCTTTAGCCCTTTACGTGATGTTGCTTTCTGGTTCGTGCGCATATTTTTTTGCGCAGGGGGGGTTGTTTACTTCCGGTCTAGCTTTCGACAGTACGTACGCACAGTGACACGCGAAATTGACGTTTTTGAAACTTACGTTTATGAAATTAATAGAATGAACACGTATATGAAAATTATATGAAAAAAAAGAACAAGATATCTCCTTCCAAAATATTTTTAGATTATTGCAAAACATTAAATAGCTACTGTGTGACGTTAAGTTGAAAAAAGGTTACAAATGGGCAAAAAATGCCTTTCTTCATTCATGACATGTACCGTACCAATTTACACTAAAATTAGGAAATATTTTTGATATAGAGATAATACTTCAAACACCTTTATTTTTATTTTTCTAATACTTCAAATAAAATGTTCTACAATTTAATTTGCCAAAGAAAAAAGGTTATATTGCGAGCTAACTAACCCGCACCTCTGTGCCACACACAGGCCTACGGTATAGGCCTATCTATAGTATGATTAATAAAATTAGATGTTGCATTTTATTATCAATTACATGGTATATTAGAACAGTTTTAAAAATCTTGTTTATATTCAAATGTGCATTTTTTAAAATAAATTCAGCTTTGTTTGTATACTTTAGTTGATAAAGATGTAAATATCCCTACAAAATTCTTTTCCAATCTAGGCCTCATTAATAATTTTAGAAAATAGCCATTTATTTATTGTAAGAATGCAGACCCCCCCCCCCCCCCCCCGCAAAAAAATAATAAAAAAAATACACATACTTTTTTTTTCAGCTTGCACGTCTGGAAAAAAGTTTACTTATATAAATCCACCCCAATGTAAGCAATTATTTCATAGTCTTTTTG